TAGTGCCTCTAGTTGATTGATGTTCGATACGAGTCGCGTAACGTTGCAAGCCGGTAATACTGCCTCCGCTAACGGATATAACCACCCTCGGTTCAGGAAATAAAGGGTAACTAGTTTGACCCGAGGAAATGGGTGTGTTGAGAAGGAAAAAGCGTAAGTTACTTTTTTTGATCTTTTATTTTTTATTGTGATTTAAAATCTTTATATTCTCGTCTTGCATTTAGGCTTACTCTGATTGTCGTAATTTAAAATCTTGTTTACCATATTGTGTTTATCTAATATTAAATATAGCAAACGTTTATTATTCTGATACTTAACTAATCATAAATTGATAAGTTAAATAATTTCTTATTGGAATATTAATCTCTCATATGATCTATATAGCAAACAAATAATGATAATTTTATTTCTAACATTAATAGTAATATTATATTGTATTATTATAATGTTATTAGGAAACATTATTGTTGGCAAACGGATATCTTACCTGTATAACTGTGCCAACGGTGATTGCAAAGTCAAGGCAATTTATCACATCCTTGAGGAAATCATAATTCATTCGTCGTATGCTTTTATTATAATACCTATATTGCTCTTTCTTAACTTCCGACGATGACATTGATCGATTAATTAGTTAAATCTAGATATTTTATACACGCAAATTTTATCACATCCTGGTGTATTAAATATCGAGTCTTCTGAGTGCATCGAATGAATGTGAAAAATATGATACGAAAAATATGCTCAGAAGTGGGTACATAATGTTCCAAATATTGTGTTCAGTCTCGGTAAGCACATTGATGACTATTTTATTTCAATATTCGTCCAGTATTAACAGTATAAACTGGGCACGAAATTAAAACAAAATTGAAACAATTTAACAAAACGAAAATAGTCTTCTACTCTAAACAATCTCTTTCAGAACGTTGATCGAATCTAATTACATTTGTATTTGAAGCATAAAACATGTAATCCTTAGATTTGTTCTCTATTGAAGATATAGATGAGTATTGTCAATTTCTAATAAAAAATAGGTAATATAAATCTCGAATTGTAATTCGTGTTAAAACAAAAATAAACGAATGCTAAATTATAAAAATCTTAAATACATCAGATTTACATAAAATTTATCCATCAACCGTTTAACCGTGTTTTAAAATTCATTTAAATATATTTTATTTCTAGATTTAAAACAAACAAGACTTTATGCATTTTAAGGCAGGTATTAATTAATTAAGGTAAATATTATTTCTGTAAATTTGCGCCCAATCGTAATTAGTGTACCAATTTTTCTTTGAGTGTCTTTGCTACCCGTCAATATTTTTGTTATAAAGATTTATGTTCAATTAGTGTCGTTTTAAAAACACATAGTGGCTGTCGGTTCTTGAATAGGTCATACGTAACGCTTATTATGCCACGCCGAGAGAATCTACGTCGTGAAGGTGAGCAGTTGTTGTTCATGTATGCGGTCATCGCTTACATATTTTATTTGGGAGCGTCATAAGGCCAGTGGCACACATGTCCGTGCAAAATACGCATAGCACGTGCCAACCTCGTCACGAGAGCCATTAGTTTGGAGTCTCTGACCGTTCACCCCTATGTCTAATAATCATAATTTCTACCTATAGTTACCTTTCTTTGAATTATTACGACTTCCTATTTTGAATCCATAGATAAAGATTTGCAATTTATAAAATGATGAAATGGTCATTTTCAATACAATTTTAAGACTGTTAACATTACATACACAGAGTAATAATTACAAACATGAATAACTATAAAGAGCCGGTTCGTGTAGTTATGGTAATAGTGCAAAATGTTTTCATGTTTACTACTAATGTATTGACATTATTGGACTGAGTTAATGTCTTCTTTACTGCCTGAGGTTTCCGTGTAACCTTCACTTAAAGTAGGTATCTGATACTCATCTATTTGTACGCATATTTTGTAACTGCGTAATAGGTAGTTATATAAGTGTTCGATGTTATTGATGGGTTTGCTGGTAAGGTTGGAACGAGACCACTTGTAGGTCTTTATGTTTGCATTACCTTCGGAAATTATGTCATTCTTTAAAATACCTCTCGACTGTGTGTTGTTTTACGAATCTACTGTAGTTGACGTGTATGCGATGATTCTATTTATATTTCAAACAGAGGTGGGAATAATCAACCATACACGAAACTTTTTAATAAATACTTTCTCTGAGTAGGCTTACGTTATAAGAAAAATAGCTATGATCCATATTTTAGTATTCTGGACTCGAGACTCTGGTCTTTTATAATAATTGTATTGTATCTTGTAATATATTTCCAGTCAGGATCATATATTTCATATAACTTTAAATAAATGTATAGATTGTAGTGCAACTTTTATAAAGATATTTTCCATCTGTTTCCGAAAAATGTTAATGAATTTAAAATTAATTTATATATTTAAATAACTGTATAATATTATCTGTAAATGTAAATACCGCATATAAGTGTTACATTATACTTATTAAATTAACGATTGGAAGGCACATCTGCTTTAAATGAAGTCATGTGTTTTGTAGTTACTGCTAACTGTCTCGAGGCCGTGCCGCAAAGGCGCAGCTATAGTACGCACCTCTAGAATTAAACGTTTATATCCATCGAGCATTACCGGGCACAACCATTAAATCAAATTGCTTCTCTTAATTTAACTTTAACGGTTCAGCCTCCAAGCTTTTACCCGTCATAATTGCAATTTACATTGCAACAACATTTTCCCTTATTAGATTGCTCTAGACACCTCGCACACCTATTATTCGATGATACTATAAATGCATCGTTAACGTCATCTTAGCTATTATTACACAAATACAATCAACTGCTCAATAATTTTATCGTGTTCCGAACGTTATTAATAATAACACCTTCAACAACAATTATTTTACTTTCACCTGTCGAATTGTCGATTGCATTTCATTTCGAGTAAAGTTACTACGGCTGCTAAGATGAGAATTTTCCAATAAAATAAGACTACTGTAGAGCGTTGGTCACGAATCCTTCCACAAACTATCACGACTCGGTTTAGGGCACAATAGCTGCGTCGTCTTTCTATTAAGGTTATCCCAGGGTGAAAGTAGCTCTTCTGATTAGCTATTGTAGTTACCTGCGCAGGATGAGCGTTCTGGACCATGATTTCACTCGGTCTATTCATCCATCTTGACATATTGATTGTCGTGCGAACGAAATGGACGCACGATCATTTGTGATTCAATTCTCTGTTTGCTTTGTAATTTGTTAGAAATAGAAATGAACTCGTATTAATTAAGTAAACCAATCATCAATTAACATCAAATTCTCTAGTACTGTTGTGTAACAAGTACTAACTCGTTTATTAAGCATTATGCTTCAGATCGTTCACATAACCATTAACAATATAATTAAAGTGAAAACCATTACAAAAAAATAGGAGATAGACCTTTTGTTTTAAGAATTAATAGTTGCTGTAAAAGTTCTTTGTGAAAGGCGAATGGTTACTCTATCCTTAGTAATGATACTCTATCACGTAATTCGTGACGGTGTCGTTTCTTTACATGTTTATGCCATTTAAACGTCACGGCATTGTCTGACCTTGGACTATAATATGCAATACATTATTGTATCCTTTCAATACATTCGTCTATGCTCACAGTTTGTATTCGTAGGTTGTGTTCTGTATACACAGTTAACTCTGTGACGCCCACACGCTATTAGAGCCCTTGCAATATATTCCTTTTCGAGAATATGACTCGAAGTCATCTCTCATTAATGTGTTATAGGTTAATTGTTTTTTATTCACTTAGGTCGGGTTACGTCTATAAGGTGTCGATTTACTCCACTAGGTATAGTATGACCTTACACTTGATTAGCGATTATACTCATTGCGCACTCGTTGTAAAGCAGCTATTCAAGAACATGTATGTTATTTATACAAGTAATATTATAGATAGGTTTATAGGTAAAAGATAAGATTAAACAAGTTCACTTCGTATTGTTTATTTTTTTATAATATTCGTCATAGATGATTTATCGCTCTATTACAATTATTACAATAATTTAAGTTCCTTTCTATTACTTTAAACTATGCTGTCATTGCAATTGTGTGTTGGACTCTGTTTTCCGCATTTAGATTCTCATTTGGACCGTTGTGCTTTTAAACTAAAGTAGGTTAAAAAATACGTATTATAAAAGTACTTATTTAAATATTTTTATTATGACTTCTTTGAAAGATTTTACAATATGTAGTGCAGATATGTAATCATAATCTATAATATCTAGTAATGAACACCTTTGCGAATCTTCGAATAATAGTACCAACCTATATAAAATGACATTATAAACTGAATAAATTATGGATGACAAGTGACTAAACTATTAGCCAATTAAATTTAAAGTGTCTATGAATTACCAACTTAATTTAATAGGCGTAATAAATTTTGTATGTAGCTATTTATTTTCTTAATATAGGTATTTATAGTTTAGACATTTACAAGTCCATGCTCGTGAAAGTTTATAGTATCTACTTACATTTTATGTTTAATGAAAGTTTATTTGCGTATAATTTTTATAAAGACTAGGATAGGTAGTTATACTACTTAAGGTACTATAATGCTCATTATGACTACTATTTGTTTTTATAAATAAACAGAATTAGATTAGACAAAAATTAAAAGTATTAGATATATCTTTTCAAGTAAAATATTAAACTGTATATTTCTTTTCTTTTATAATATTTATTTTCGGATTTCTAAAAATAACATTAGTATGCATAATTGATACTACTGTTATTGTTTGCATTTTATTAGTTTTAATTTAAAAGAAGTATATAATACAACAGTTCTGTTCTGCTATATCAAACATTGGACGGTTATTAATATTAATTAGTATTTAAATACGAGCTTACATCTTTTTTATACAAATGAATATATTTTTGATCCGTATCTGTATGCAATCTGTATAAAATATTTAATTAAAGTAACAAAGCTTTTTTCACAGGCGAATCAGTTTCGGGGCGGGCAGAAAGCGAAGTGCGTATAATAGGCGACCAGCGATGCATAGAGGTGCGAATCGCCCGAGCAGCCGGCGGATTAGGGCTGAGCATCGCTGGAGGACGTGGCTCCACACCCTACATCGGGAACGATGACGGCATATTCATATCGCGGGTCACCCCTAACGGGCCTGCGTATCTGGCTGGACTCAGGGTGAGCGCTTTATTATCCATACAAGATTTATAGTTCTGCAGGAAATTTGTTAGATGGAACTTGCTACTAATGCGGAAGTGTTGTCAACTTAAGCATATTACGATATTATGGGTATTTACATTAGTAAATACACAAAAAGTGTAATACAGACAAATGTATATTAATAAACTTTATCGTGTTTCTCTTATCGAAATTGTTATTATCAATTTAATTATTTATTGATTGTTGTTTCATCAATGGGTGCTTTTATAATTCAACGTATCGGCGCGATATTATCATTCCGATGTACATAGACAGCAAAAAGTGTTTTGGATGATAAGCCTCATGCTGTGTTGGAGTAGGAAAGAGAATCGAACGTCCATTGTAACGTCTTACTATAATATTGTAGAGAAGGTAATAAATGAGGTCATCGGATCTAAATGACCAATGTTGATGTATAATATCCTGTTATTGCAGGTTGGTGATAAGGTGCTTTCAGTGAACGGAACATCGGTCGTGGAAGTTGACCATTATTATGCAGTAGAAGTACTTAAGGCCAGTGGTGCAGTCTTGACTCTTGTCGTTACAAGAGACTCGCCAAATTCAACAAGGTATATTTATTATAATTGACTGCAAATCCTATTCCGGATGAAGAACCTTTTCATCTTCAATCTAAAAATGCCATACAATCCATAATTTTTAAATAAAAAAAAATAACCGTTATGAGATATTTGGAACATGCGCTTGCTATGGATAAAACGGTTTCCGTAACTTTTTAGCTTGGTCATAATGCTTGAGTTGTTTGACTCATGTGTTTACTCTATATAAGTAAATATAATTAATTTGGTTTAGTTTTTACACAAAATACATTTTAATAATCCTTATGCATTTGTAGAACCCACAGTCGAGCGCCAAGTGGAGCGAGTCACCATTCTGTATCAAGTACTACTGACACGGTATCCACCCTAGAAAATGGGCAGGTTTGTAATTTTATATTATTCTGTTCTTGTATTTACTAGGTATGCATAATAAATATTATAAAAGATAAGATACGATATATCTCATTTTACATATAAATGTAACAGATTATAAAATCTGTTTTTTCGTAATTTGACTCAAGTGGAATTGGCACCTATAATTTCAAATTCAGAATATTCCAAATATATCAGTGAGTTGTTTTTGTCTATACATAATGTTTACGACTAAAAGGTATTGAATTAAGAAATTAAATACTGTAAGAAAAATCAAATACATTTTTAATTACCAATCATAGATACCAACTGGTCGAGGTGTAATGTCCAAACCGCTAATCATCGGCAACCAATACGCCCAAGAATTGGAACCGGAGCAAAAAGAACAGAAGCTGAATGTTCAGACGCCGGCAACCACTCCGAGCGTCAGCTTTAGTCCGTCCCCAACCGGTGCGGTCACCACTGATACGTACCAGCGACTGCAGGCGTCGCCGCCGCCCCTCACCGCGCCCTACATACCACCGGGTGAGTAAATGTGCTTTTTTTTTCAATGTCAATTGTATACTAATATAATTGATATTGAAGAATATTAATATAATAAGAAAAAGAGATAGAATATTATTGTTCAATTTTGTTAAAACATATAATTAGTATTACTACTATTATAAACGTGAAAGTTTGTGAGTATCCACATTTACAAACTATATATTTTTGTTACTGTTTCACCCAAAAACTACTGAATAAATTTTAATAAAACTACAATAATATAGCTTATATATCAGAATAACACATAGGCTATATGTTTGTTATACTAGTACAATTATATAATTATATATGGAGATAGGCGCCGAGAGTGCCTTAATGTGATAATATCACAGTTCATAATTTCTTATTTTTCTTTGTATGAATTTGAATGTATCTTAATTTTAATAATAATAGTACTCTTACTATAACAATAACAACTTATCAATTTTATGCATAAAAATATATTGCAAAGTATCTTATTTGTCAATAATAATCTAATTATAATAGTATTGATTAACATGTCATGAATGCTGTGGAATACAGACCACTTATTTGTTTATAACCTACTTTATATGCTTTATATTTCGAAAATACCAAAATTGTATTCTAAATTGTCACTGCTATCTATTGTTCCTTTCGGTTTCCCTTCCTGGCCCTAGTTAGTAGTGTTTCTTTATAATATACTCTTATAATAAAATATATATATCCTACAATTCCCTGGTTTCCTTTATCGCCCACAAATGCTCCTTTTAAAAACATTAAGATATTTAATTATAAGATTACCCATTCTTATAATAGATTATAAACATAGTGGATTTGGATGAAGTCAAGCTATTACAGAACAGCAAATAAAACAAATTGACTTTACAGTGTACCAACAAAAGGTGCTAGTTCACACAACACTGATTCGCGACGGCGCTGGACTTGGATTTAGCATAGCTGGCGGGAAGGGATCACCGCCCTATAGAGAAGACAGCGATGCGATCTACATCTCGCGTATTTCGCCGCAGGGTGCCGCTGCCAAGGACGGCAAGATGTTGGTCGGCGATAAAGTCGTCTCTGTTAGTACTTTTTAAACGTACCTATACTATGATTATTTATTATATGATTGAATTATCTGCTTGTTGTCTAAAATAACGTTTATTTATGTTAGTAGTAAGAAAATTCTTGAACTAAGCACATGCTTGAATGAACACATATTTCAAGAATTTCCTACTAAGTATAAACTATCACGCTTATATCTCAATTAAAAGTTGAACTTTGGAAATATCACAACGCCATTCACTATCCACATGGAAAGCTTAATATATTCAATTTATCAATTGTAATGTAACTGAACTTTCTGTTTATAGATCAATGGCGTAGATATGGAGAATGCACCTCACGAAGCGGCCGTATCTCTGCTCACCGGCCACGAAAGATTCGTGAGACTCGTCCTACAACGGACGATCACTTCCGACCAAGGTACGACTGTATATAATGTAATAACGGTGTAGTGTACAAATGTAGTGAACGCCTGAGTACTAAGAATTCTTTTAATTTATGTGTTAAATTTTTATGGATGTATGGTACAATTTTCTACTCGTGTCTTATCTACTATATCTGTGAATTGTATGTAACAAGATTGCGATATAATAAATAAGTAGGACTGCTGTCATGACGAAAAATTACAATTACAGAGAACATTTTTAAATTTTATAATAGCGTCCTTGTAGTTATCCAATAAAGATAGATTTATTACGGTAATTCTCGACGATCAGTCCAGGAACAATAGATGGCGTCACTTCATTTGCTTCCAGTATAATACTCGTATGGTCTTAGCTTAGCTTTATCTATAGTAATGCAATTTTTTTGTCCATATAGGCGAGTTGCTCCCTCGGAAATCGACGTCAGACGAAGTGAGAGAAAACCAGACGAGTTTGCAGAATTTGTACATCACTCCCACACCTAAACCCACCAATCACGTTACCGCACCTCTTGTTGGAAACCATACCGCACACGCCGCCCCGGTACCTCACGTTACCCCGGTACCACACTTGACATCTGCACCGCACCCGACGCACTCAGCACGCGTGTCACCGCATCCCAATTCGTCCAACACACTACCGCAAGCGCAGAAGCAAACTACGTTCGCGCCCACCAACACTCTACCACCACAACCTGCACCGCGAAGACTCAGTCAGCCGAATGGGCAGGTGAGGATCGGCAATCTATATGGCATTTAGAAATTGTTATAATTATAGTTAGTAGTTGAGGGATGCCAAAGTGAAACATAATAAAATATTAATAAATACGTCTTACTATAGCAACACAACATGTTTGTGGATAATCCTAAAGAACATTTCTATCTGATGCTTTGCAATAATAAAAAAATATTTCCATGTTTCAAATATTTTTTATAATTAAAGTTTATCGCTTTAATGAAAATTCAACAATTTTTAGTAAATAACACTTTTTTATTATTTTTTATATATATTTCTTAGTTTTGTTTTGGTGTTCCCTTTGGCACCGTTTTTATATCTCAACTATGTAGATTTTTTTATGCCTAATTTGTTGTAAACTTGGATCAGTATCTAAATAAAAAAGAAGTAATAAACTTAGAGAAAATGAAAAAGTAGCTTACGCTTATTAGAAATGCACACGCTGCAGACAGCAAATTAAAAATATTAATCGTTCAACGCAGGCGCCCAAGTCATCGACTAACAGTACGAGCACGCCCCTAACACCTGGCGGCAATAACACGCACGGATCGAGCGACGACGTGTTCGACGATATACAGGTAAGATAAACCCTAGCACTTAAATAATGCTCCCGGTCGTTTCGCAGGTGATGGTTATCAGTTTAACACGTTCACATCCGTGCTTCTCGTTCCGCTTTACACCATGTCGTCGCCTATGTTCTTCACTTATGAACTAGAATTGCCGTCTGCTCTAGAATGGTAGTGTGAGATGTTGCACCTCTCGTATCTCGAAGTACAGAGCTCATACTTCGTGTTTACAAGGTGCCTTATCGATCACTGCTGTCGAACAGTGGATGTGCTTACTATATTTTGTTTCCGCAATTAACTACATTTTACTTTTTCAGCAATCCTTAGTCGAGTCCAGCTACGTTAATATATTCTGAGAGTACTCTGGCTTGAGAGTCCAAATTTATTTATTTAATTAAAATTAAACATTTTATTACTAAAATGTTTTGAAAATGTATGGTAGTTTTAAATATATATTTTCTCTAAAAACATAATGAGTATACCATTGGGTACTAAAGCATACAGTTTTCTGAAAAAATACAAGAATGAAATCTAACAATTGATAGATACTCCTCTCAGGTAAATCTCAAGCAAGGCGTATGTATTATTCTCGCTGATACGTATCTACGTATTATTTATATTGCAACCTTATAGTGTGAAGAACACACTACATCTGCTAACATTAAAACATTAATATATTTCTTATTCATTCATATTATATTTTATAGAATGTTTTAAGTAATATACGAAATCATAATATTATCAATTTAATAGTTTAATCTTTGTTATAATTCTTTCAATTCTAATTCATTTTACACTTACATAATACTTCGCGTCATATCACATGCAAATATTTTATATGACTATTTTTAAATTACTTAAAAACTTCATGCTCAACCAATCATCCTTTACTGGTGACCTGCCAGCGTATACTGTAAGCGCAGGCGGGTATATCATTCCATTATCATTCTTAAAAATATTGACTACATATAAGAATTAAACAAATTAAATAAACACATCTGTCTGTTTCTTTACTTTTCTCACAAAGAGCTAAAATGATTAATTGTAGGCAACCCTAACAAGTCTCATATTTATACATTATCGCAATAATAATAACTATCTTTTACACACAGAGAAAAAATGCAGGAAAAACAGTACGTTAGAAAGTGCAATAGAGAAGGCGATCTTATCGCTCAAAGCATTCTTGTAATGACGTCTTTAGTCTGCCACGGTAGCGTCCATACTCCATTTGGTCACATGTTACCTATAAAGATGGTAAGCACAATAGTGGGAGCAAACTCGTGTAATACGGCTCTTTCTATGTTAAATTTGCTTTGTAATTAAAACTAAAAAAAAATATGAACGCAACACTTGACACGCCCACTTTTCGCCCGGTATATTTGGAATCCAGTCACAGGAAGCCAAACCACAGTCGAACGGATTAATTTTTGGTTTAATATCAGTATATCTTTTACCGGAAGGTAAGTCAGAAATATGAAATTGCAGTCTCTTTTGGGTTGGCCAGATTAAAAAACACGCCCTCTGTGACGTAATTTAAGGTAGTAAACCACCAAAATAGGATACCACCACCATATATATATATATATATATATATACACCACCATATATATATGTATATCATAATCAGATTGAATACCTGACCTGCCTTAGATAACGAAGTTGAGAAAACAACAGACTGATCACCGTCTGTAGATTGTACGTCTATGTCCCTTGTGTTCCTCTGACGTCCTAGTAAGAGATACAAACTTATGTAGCGAACATAGAAACTAAAAATTTTGTATACATAATTAGTTTTAAATGCGAATAGACCCCGTCATTACTAACTATGACGAATCAACAACTGGAAGAATATAAACTACGAAGCAACATCTGACTTCTTTTTTTTTCCAAGCGGTACATGGCTATTGTTTATTTATTTTTATTATTACGTATTTTTATTCGTATACAAAAGGCGATACTTAATGCCATATGCCATTTTCTACCAGCTAACCTTTATGTATAAATAGAAAGCGTTATAGGGCAGTCATGGCGAAAACCTATGACATTATTACTATATTATATAAATAACTAAACAATATATATGTATAGTTAGTTATATACAAGTAGTAAACTACTTGTCTATCTGAGCTGATCTCATCGAAACATGCATAACTATGATTCATCCCGATTAAACTACTAGACTTCTGATAAGAAACCAAATTTAAATGGGCGCATTTGGTCGCTGCGATAGCATAGTTTAGATAGATACTTACAAATCACCCGGATTTTGCATAAGGGGAAAGTTTACCTGCTTATAATGGTCGGTAATTACTCATCTCTTATATATTTCTTTTATTTATACGTACAATTAGGAATGGAAGTGCCTGAGGTAATGTGATACCTGTGATCATGGCGGTTGAAACACTGCCTAAATATCGGAAACTCATAAAAATAAATAAAACATGGTAAGATCCCGTAATTTTTCCTAATTGTACGTATAAATAATGACCACGTTAAATTTCACAGCATTGTAGAAGTAGAGTAAAATCGGTCTAGATAGACCTAAGTAAAAAAATCTATAAGTTGTTTATGTAAAGACCACTCGCGTCTAAGTATCTTTCAACTATTATTTTATCATAAGTACGTGCACGATTAACATTCGTATTATATAAATCTTAAGAGGATATATCCTGCATGACTGGCAACACCCGTAATACTTGTCACAATCGAATCGAATGCTTATACTTGTACTTGTATACTTTTGAATAATAAATTTTAGTTAGTCGCTGTCATACCAAAATAAAAAAGTTATCGGTAATACTTGAAATATATCGCATAACAAACAATACAATCGAAATCTATTGAATACACATGTACAAATGCGACACCTACAGAAACAGGAGACTTAAATTACTCCGTGCAATCACAATATTAATACGTAGTACAGATCAAAAACAAAAAAAATCAATGCCACGATATAAAACAAAAAAGCAGCAGAAGGTAATGGAGCCATAATTAATACACAGAAAACAGAGAAATGTGTATGTATAGATCTATGTTCGTATGTGTGCTGCGCTGAGTTCTCTGAAAAAGTTTAGGCATAGCATTTCGTTATAGCTGCTGAAACTATTCTGAGTTTCTGTCTGATTAATATAAAAATGATGTTAAAACTTCGAAAGAAGTATACGTTACCACAATATTATTTATTGTAGAATTATTCGTTTCACTATTTCAGTTTTCGGCCATGGTCAACGAATTTTTTTTCGTATAGTATCCACCTTAAATTTAAACAAATTACTTATAAACTTAACCCCAAAACTGTGCAGAGGATAAATATGTCTCGAACTGTTGAAAAGAAATATTCCAAGAGAATTCTATTAAAGAATAGTAATATTAGAGCGTTCCTTAATTACTTATACTGTAACTTTATTCGTGATTAATGCGATGGGACAAATCTGACTAAAGCGATCTCCGCATTGCTTATGCGTTTTATGAAAATTGTAATACTCCATATATTTAAATTATTTTTTTATTACTCGGAGGAAATCATTGTTCCATTTTATTAATTCTATCAATGGCATTTCAGTTTATTATAAGTAATTGCCTGTCATCGAATTGGATTATGATTGAACTTGCTAATTGTTTTACCCGAAGTAAAATTATAAAACTGTTTCTGAAACGAAATAATCTGATGTACATGTGAACAAATATAATTCAAAGCACCTACAAAATACCCACTTTTATAAGTGGATTAAATTATATTTTATAGAATAGAATTAAAATTGCGTGTTTTTTAAAAGTAAACCTGTTTTCCGTAGGTGTTGATATATGGACTATTAACAAACGTAGATTTCGTATTATGAATGCTAATGTCATCAAAACCGTTTATATAACAGATCTGAATATTTTTTTACTATAGGTCCATTTGTTTTATACAATACTGCTTTATTTCTCAGCATCTGTAATTTTAATTAAAACATTAAACATAAATAATTGATACTTATTCCTTAATTATGATTGTACGGGCAACCGCACATGCCTGCTTACTGTGCAATACACAATTGCCTACACATGCAATTTCACTTCTATACATTTCACCTCATTATATTTATTTTAGTAATAAAAATCAGTGTTCGAGTAGCATTCAACCAAGGCGGTTTTATTTAACAAAAACCCCTCATCAATCAATCAATAGCATTATCACGGAACTGTGGGCTTAAACCCCCACAATGATTTACATGTTAAAAATTAGGTACGAGTACTATCAGAATGAATATATTGGCATTTGGACATTCTTGTGATTAATGATCGCTGGACCCGACTAACTCCTTTTGCCATCCTTTATAATATGTTTCCACTGATACGATGTGAACGTGTTAAACGCGCAGCCGTCGCGGCCGATCACGAACGAGGACTTCCAAGCGATGATACCAGCGCATTTCCTGGGCGGGCCGAGACCGGCGGCGGCGTCCGAGCCGCCGGAAAGAGGCGTACGCGTCACCGTGGAACGGCCCAGCGCGGCCGGTGTGGTATTGCCACCGGCGCCAGCCACCCTAGGCCGCGTCACTGAAACAATCACCAAGTCGACCTTCACGGAGACCACCGTCACCAGGATCACCGATAACCAGCTCGTCGCCCCGCTTATCATCGAAGTAAGAATTTCAATTGATTTAAAGATTTATCCTTGTGTGCACGGGACAGTTTTATACTAAAACTTTGATAACGAAATTAAATATGTATGTAGTTGTGTCGGTATATCTATAACATTAGATATGTTTGATTTCTGAAAAAATATTTATTTTGAAATTGAATTGTACAATTCGAATTATTGTTTATTTTTTTCACAATAGTAATGTACAAGGTATGGAGGGAGGTAAGGTATACATGTAACAAGGATAAATCTTTTTAACAATATGGGTATTTTTCGAGTCCGGCAGCTTTAAGCTGTAATATCACTGAGCAAAGGGTAGCTGCTGCACTTATATTATTTATGTTTATAATATTACCTACATTTTATAAATGTGGTTGACATTTTGTGTGAACATGACTAAAGGTTGGTTTTATTACATAAAATAGTAATAAACTTGGATATGAATCGATAAAGGTTCCAACCAAGAAACTAATATAAACAATATAAACAATTTTTTTTATCAATAACTTATTCATTACTGACCTCTAGTTGAGGTGGCATATGTCTTGTTGAATTTCACTTTATAAAATGTATCGTATTTATACGATAAATTATTATTATTTGTGGCTTCCGTTGTATATATTCCTACATGCATAACTTCACGGATAGGTAGAGCTACTGTCCGTCGAAGTTTGTCGTATAGGAATTATACATTTAAAAGGACAACACAATGCTTTTAGGAGTTATATTTAGATCTTATGGACTATATATGTATATTTATTAATTATGTTTTCTTAAATCATTATATTATATTAATGTAATTATTATCTATTATAATAATAGTGTTATATTTTATATATATTTATATATGCCTTATAGTAATCTGTTCCTAAAAATAGTATGTTTTATTTGTTTTCTCATAAAACTGTTGGGAGTTCTGTAACAAAATACACGAGGTTTTAGAGCCAAATAGAGCCAATATACATAACTTATATTTTTAACTCTTAGTACGAAGTAATTTTTTTAATGGTATATCGTTTATAACTACTTTATAGTAGTTTTATTTGTACGTTTATATTTTTTTACACACATAATATAATACTAAGAATTCAAAAAGCAACTGACAATTTACGAAGCAATATAACACGATAGACAGAAAAGTAGTAGTTTATATAAAGTATGAGTTTCCATATTGTCTATAAAGTCTGTAATTTACAGGGATAAGAGATATGTAATAAATATATTATGATTATTGTGTACATAATTGTTGATTATATTTTAAAAGTATTAAAAATAATGTAATAATACTAAATGAAAATTTGGTTACCAAATCTTCCAAAGGAAAATAATAAATAACATCATGTGTATATAGAGTGAGGAAATTATTTGAGTCTTGTAAAAGTAAAAGAGAACATAAATGATGAACTAAGCATGAAATAACGAGCAATTAATTTAGGAAATTATTTCAGTTGTTTAAAAAACATTTTACTGTTGCTTTCCGCTTTACCAGTATTTATTTATTTATTTATTATGTAATTATTTACTGTTTTCATATATATTACAACAGTTTGTTCTCATTGTTTCAGGATGTGACATTGTTAAAGGAGGGTGGTTCTCTCGGATTCAGCATAATTGGTGGCACAGACCACTCGTGCGTACCGTTCGGTGGCAAGGAGCCCGGCATATTTATATCACATGTAAGTTTTAGTTATTTAAAATATATAAATTGGGTAAAGTCTGCGACAAAAAAAAGTAAGTAAGTTGGGTAAAGTATAAACTAATTTATTACTTTATATAATTGAAGTATAATATATGGAAGTTCAACCTGATTGCAGATCAAATAAATTTTAATATCTTAATTTTTAGTAAATTTTGCAGATAAATCTAAATCAGAAATCATAATAAAATAAAATAATTAAACAGATTGCTCTGAATTATAATAACGTCCAACTTATAAGGAAACAGTTGTCTCCTTACTGAACAATTAAAGAAATAAATAAAGCAAGAAATACTAGTTCTGAAATTGCACAGGAAAGACTTGGCAAACAAAGCTGCGGCAGATAATTTGTAACAAACATATTGTACAGGTCGTCCCAGGGGGTGTGGCCGCACGATCCGGCAAGCTTCGAATGGGCGACCGTCTCATTAAAGTAAATGGGACTGAACTAACCGGCGCTACACATAGAGACGCGGTGCAACTATTGTTGCAGCCCGGTGCTACTCTCACACTCTCTGTGCGACACGATCCATTGCCACAGGGATTCCAGGTCGGTGGAATGTCAAATAAATTATTTATCGAGTTCTATTGGCGTTACCATAACATTAGATTAATATGTACTCATAATATTTACGTTGTCAAATAATAAGTTGTGTCCAAGTATACTAATTTTAAATTCTAACAAACACCTCTAAGGATTGTTTATTATGAACAATCCTGTTCAATGCAGTATTTTAAGTTTCTAATTATTCCATGGTACTGTAAACGTGTAAGCTTCATATTGATCATACATAGATATTATATTTAATGTAGTTCTATTAAATTTATTAATTATTAAAAGAAACACTGGGCAATAATTCTTTGTCACTGATAAGCCGAAATCTATAAAGTACCTATGTGAAAAATTGCTTAATGATTATCAAAATAGTAATAATTTACAAAAATAGGCTGGTAAATTTAATTTATATTAATTTTTATGCGTACTCACACATATGAAAGTCGTGCAATGTTCTGCATGAATGCAAGTACGAGTTGTGGGTTATTATTGACACCAGTCATACGCCTGATGTGTCATTCAGTAGTAAGATTTGAGTTCGCTTCAAAGTAGTCATTTGGCGGTATCAAGGTATCTGGATAATGCTTATGCACATTATATCCGGCTGCATTACTAAGGCAAATAGACTGTGTGTGCTGCGAACTTTCGCTTCCTGCAGTACTTACGTACATCTCAAAAACAAAGGCTAGCGTTGAATTAAGCAGATCTTTCATCGTGTATTAACAGCATTAAACATACCTGACCTTCCGCAGTGCCAAAAATCTTATTAGTGTGTAGTCAATCTGCACTTAAAGAGTCTGTATTGAAAAAGTCGACAAGTGATAAGGCGGCGAAAAAGAACCAACAACATATCTGCATATGTAACCGATATGTGCAATTAATTGTTTAATGGATTAAAACTCAGTACACGAGTGCAAGAGAAGAAAATTTTAAATTTAAAACCTTATACCCAGCCGCCTGGCCAGTGTTTACTGTACTGTAATTCATATTACCTCTTGTAACATACATGTATTATAGTGCTACATTAATGGGTTGTCAAAACGTATTAACATTGTCTATAGGAGGTACACTGCGAAAAGGCATCACGCAAGACCTGCTTAATGTGGCGCTAGCCACAGAGACACTTCTATATGAACATTTTATAATTCAATGAGCTAGTGTTGTTTATAAAACGGTTAACGTTGTTTGTTTCACACGTGCGCTCGTCGGCCCCTGCGGCACATACAGGGTCTCATTCAAGTTGAGATTATTGACGCAACTGTAAGTGTAACGTCGCCCGCCGATCTCAAACTTCTGTGTGTTACTTTACCAAATATATGTCAGAATCCCTACCCAGTCGATACGTGTGCTCAGCTATCGTCGAGTCCTGAATGGTTATATCGTTAAAATGCTTTATTCTATCGTAGAAATAATCGGTCCCCTTTTTATTAAATCTAAATCCGACATTCGAACTAGTATTTGCAGTAGATTACACTTTATTATAGTTTCTTAGAACATTTTATACTATAAACACTACAAAATACATCTACTGCCTGTGTTAGGATAATTGTTTAAAATTTATAGAACGTGTTTATGTGCAGTTATTGTTATTAGGAAAGCTTAATACAGATTGCATGAGGTATTGGCTTTGCATGTACTGTTGTTGATTGTGAAGCGAGATGATTGAAAACTGTAGTATATTGTTTTAATGAATGTAATACATATCGACCTAAAACTTTTATTAGTAAATTTTATACAGCACCTGAGTTAATTTTGTGTGTGTGATGATTTATTTCTGAGTCTTTATAGTATTTAAATCAATTGATATTATGTTAGTTATGCTGTACCATAACCATAATTATTTGATGTTAGGACCTAACCATCATTAAGCAAGAGGGCGAGAAACTGGGAATGCACATCAAAGGCGGTCTGAATGGTCAACGCGGAAACCCTAACGATCCAAATGACGAAGGAGTTTTCATATCAAAAATAAATAGCGGTGGCGCTGCTAGGCGAGATGCTAGACTCAAGGTACGCTTTACTGTATTCAATAAATTTAATATTATCCATAGAAATATTACTATAAAGTTTAATTATTACAATAGTAGTAGTACAAATATTAAAATTTATATATAGAAATATTTATATATATTTCTATTTTTATGATATTTATATAATATATAAAGCTGAAGACTTTGTTTGTCTGCTCGCACGAACTAATCTCAAAAACTGCTGGTTCTAATCGAATATTTTGTTGTACAGTTATCTGTCGAGAAGGGCTACAATAGGAACGAAACAACAATGAAAAATGTTTATAAAAAAAAAACGGGGAAAAGTATTTTTTTCCAGGAGTTACCTCATGCAGGCAAAAAGGCGCTAGTTAGCTATTGTTGCGATAAATATTGATAAATTGTTCATAAAACGACACTAAATAACCTCCTGTTTACCTCTATAGTTCCTTTTTACGTTAGGTAAAAGGTTGAAGGTACACCTGCTGTGGTATATGTCATGCCATATACAGTTATTAAACTAAGTAATGAACTTATTTAGGTCGGCATGCGTCTGCTAGAAGTGAACGGAGTATCACTTCTAGGGGCGACGCACAATGAAGCCGTAAACGCTCTACGCTCTGCTACTAACGCGCCGCTGCATCTTGTCGTGTGTTATGGATACACGCGGCCGGAGAAATTCGCCGTAAGTTTCACATATTTTTAATTGAGAATTGACTTAATAAAGCACACATATACAAATGGCCATATTGTTTTATATCTCTATAATATTCTTAGTTTTTAATTAATATAATATTATATAATAATTTCTATGGATTTTTTTATGTTTACTATATTTATAGCAATATAAAATAGACGCCGTGTAAATTCGCCAAGTTGACTTTGTCTTGTGGAATTCAGCACCCAAACGTGCATGAATGCACCAAATTTTAAGAAAACAATACACAAATGGCGTACTTGTTTCTATCTAAGCACAATTTTCTTTTTAATTTCTGGCACTGCTTAAATGTACTCACAAATCACTTGTGCAAGTTCATTTTTGGTAGTGTTAGATGGAGATAGACGTTTGTTTGAACAGACGGGTAGTGAAAGCGGGACGGCGGACACGGGCGGCTCTCTGTCTCACTCAACGTCAAGCCTGGACCGAGATGAGCCCTTGCATCATCAGCAGGTATATTATTACTTTTTTATTTAAATGCTCAATGTTTTTATTTCACAGGTATATTTATCACCGTGATTGACTAAATTGACCTAAAAAAAATTAAACAAACTTTTTTAACATTTATAAATTACAGGAGCATCATTTCCAACAGGATCTAGTTGAGTTTGAACATGAGAGACAAGTCGCAGAAGTTAGAGAAAAGTCTACACCAGAAAAGGTGAGCCAGTTATAATTTGTTAATATATTGATAATATAGTATAATGGGTTAATAAGGAAATTACTAATGCCAATATAACACAGAAATTTTATATAACGTTACGTTATATTTTAGTTTAATTATGTATTTTTTATAAATTTCGTTATGAAAATCTTGTAATAGTGTGAACCTAATAGTGAAACATGAATGGATGGAACATGATATGGATGGATGGATTACAAACATCCGTAAATATTATTAAAATATTATTAAGATAATGTGTCACTATTAGTATCTAATAGTGACTTATTCTCTAATAGTAATATTATTTTCATTACGAAATTTCACGCAAAAACTACTAAACAGATTTTGATTAAAACTTTACAGTAAATATAGCTTATACATCAGAATAACATACGGAATATAATTTAAAAAGATATATAATGATAAATGTCAAGTAATCATGACATATGCATACGAGTTGCGCTGGTCAGCTGTTGTAGTAATACTATATTTATTTGATATTGTTCGTATGTATAGGTATTAGACATAGTCCACGCCGTTGAGAGCATGGCTCTAGAACCCGCACCGCCAACATCACCAGAGCCCCAACACAAGACGACTACAGTCGTTATGTCGAAACACACACTTCAACCTCAGGTGAGTGATCGAGTTAAACCTCAATACTGCTAGAAAGGCTATTAATATTTGTATTTGACCTCTACCCATGAAATTACCATTTACATAGTTTTAATATTATAAATAAAGAATCAAAACGAATGGTAACAGCAACTGGAATAAACATTATTTAAACGTATGTTCAGTGTTTGATTATTGTGTATAGTAGCGGTAATTTCATAGGGACAGAGCATCTACTGTATTTATTGGACTATAAGACGCACTCGTTATTAAAAAGGACATTAAGAAGATGAATTTAAAAATATATATTTTATTATTAAGGCTAGATATCGATATGCAAAACTAAACGGTGTAGGTTAATTGGTGATTCCCTCGTCTCGAGATAACTTGTGTGTTTTCTATGCATAAAGATGCTACTTATAGTCCGAAAAATATGGTCTGTAACATTTTCGAATTGAATTGTATATTACACCAAAATCTAAAATTTCGGTAGAACCTTATTACGTAAAATAAAAGCTAATTTTCTAGTGTAGTGTGCAGAAACCACAATAATTTTATATTTAAAAAAAAAAACAAATTTCAAAATATTTAAGAGTTCTCATATTTTATGAATTGAACGATGTCTGTTCTTATTCCGTGTGCTACACATTAAGTAATTTAAAAAGTATATATACGAACACTTAATTAAATTTCTTTATAGTAATAAATATATAAATAATATGTTATTTAAATATGCATGAAAATTATTTATATTAAAAACTTCTAAATAACCAAAAATATTATTTCTATTACTGAAGTTGTTTATCAGAAGCTTATAATTAATAAACAGTATAAATTTTTTCAGCATGGAAAGTAAAATATAGCTTATTATAATGTATATATAACTATATAACTTAGTATTTGTAAAGGCCATAAAATGTTGCCAAGTATTCTTATGCACGATTGGCAACCCCTTGAATGAATTTATGGCATGCACCTTGTATATTTTGTAGTATAACTTTGCTTGCATGAAAATATACTTAATTATGTATTGAACTGTCTATGTATGATATACGTATGTTTAATAAACTATCTTCCAAAATAAATGTTTAGTATATTTATATTATAGCCTTTATTATGTAGATGGTATGAATCAGAAGGATGGCACATTTCCATGAACCTACGTACACTTGAACTTTCTGTTTAGGTTTATTTTGTACCTTTAAAATGTCTCGTGATTGGTTACCCAATGATTAATAGGAAATGTCTTGCATGTACCCGAACTTTAAGTTTTGTATTATTAAACGAACGAAATTACTTTGATTGTAATTGTGTATTGTATCAAGATAGCAACATATGGAAATTGTTTTGACTTACTGTAGCTTAGATCGATGTCGTCATGTGTTAGTTTATGTATTGATTTTATCTGCATAGGAAATAAATAAATTAGGTTTCCAAATTAAAGTTGTATTTACAAAAAATATTACGTCCGTTGCAGAGTGCTAAACCAGAGGAAAAGGAGGGAAACACATAGCCCATCATGTATGGCATCTGTCCAAAATGTAATTGTAAAAAATAATTATTGTTTATATTGTTAGGTTAGTGTTTTATGTCCATATAATGTTAGCACTCACAGATATGTGATAATTATATAGCTCCAATTGAAAATTTATGTATATATATATATTCTCAACAAGATGTATCCAGTGTTGGAGTATTGTTTTAGAATACTGACACTTTTTTACACTATACTCTTATATTAATAAAATTTAGAAATTATTTATTTATGCAAAATCATATTTAGCAAAATAATACAAAATATTATTGGAGCAATTGACAGAACTCTTATATTATTAATGTAAACATAAAAAATATATAAGAATTCTATTTTTTCAACTGTCTTCTCGATCTGAAAAATTATGAATGAATGAATGTTTAGATATAACTACTTTTTAATGAATTGTTCTTTGCTAAATATTTTGTTTGTGAGTAAATTATATTATTTACCTATTCAAATATGAATACCGATGAAGCGCAGTGTGTAAAGTATAACTTCAAATCATAGGATTTATTAATGAATAATTGATTTTATTAATATTATTATGTAAATTGTCCGGTATATTTAGAGAGATGTTATGAATAAAGTATATGTACTACATGCGATCATGAAATTGACTTCGTTTTTAAGTGATGTTTATACGTTAAACATAGTGTTTAAAAGGTGACTTTTTAAAAAAACCGAATGACATCTATAACGGTAAAAATATTTGTAAAAATCTTTATGACTGCTAGAATGGCTCGTGGTTTTGTGAAAGTAATTTTGAGTGTATTTTAATATAAAATTTTATGTATATAAAATTAATCTTGTACTTATTTTATTCAATAGTCAGAAGTAGGAAAGATATATTAGGTTATCCTTAAAAAATATGTTTGTTTGTATTGTGTTAGTGTTCTACAACAGCAAAATATATATATAATAACATGTTATAATAAAAATTCGCTATGATACGTTCAAATAGTCCCTTTTAGCGAATCTTGTGTGAACATTTCGTGTAGTTAACTAAGCAAATTTAATGACATTTGCTCTGAGGGCTTGAAACCGTACGCAATTGGTCCGGTTTATCGGGTAACAAAATAAATAATCTTACAAAACTGGTAAAATGGCCGTGGCTTACTACAAAATCTATGAATACAATAAACATGTAGAATAACATATTATTTAACATCACATCATATTAAATTAGACTAAATTGACTGAAACAAAACGCTATTGAATAGTCGTTTCAAAGTTTTAGATTTATACATTGGAGCTATTTGGAGGAGACGTTTTAAAAGTATTTATATTTCCTGTCATACGGCATTATTATGCTTGATATAACTTATCTGACTGTATTTCTATGACTGTCTGATTATATTTGTACAATCTTAGTCAATTCTTGTCTAAAACGCACATTTGCAATTTGTTACATTTTTATACGTGTATATTTAAATTTACATAAACAAATCGTCATGAACCTGTTGGAAAAATAAATTGTATCATACATACTAAAAGGACGTTCGAAGATTTAAATTTAGTAACCTAATTTTCTGTATAATCTAGTGTTGTGTTATTTCTCAACAAACACAGTAATTAATGAAATACGACCTATCAGTTTATGATTGTTTAGTTTCCTGTTTATCTATAGATAATATGTGTAAGTTTTAGAAATAGTTCGTTGACTTAGATTATACCAGTTGGATGCTGTCATAACAGGTTTAAAATTAATTACTCATATAAATATACCATTGTATTATTTAAAACGACCAATTTTAAAGTTTTTCATTAAAAAGATTGAACAATTAGTTCTGCAAATGCATTTAGAAATCTATGTCGAACTTTTCCATTATCGTTACCTAATCTTTGTTATATACATGACCAATTTTTATACCGTTTAGCCAATATATACCTTATTTTGTTTTCGGTAATTAGTATGTATGTGTATTTAATTGTTTAGGCGTAAATATATTACACTCGAATTAAAAACCCAGTGTTATTTCATGTATCTCGAAATATGTTGTGTTTATGTTTTATATTTCCTACATATCGATTAAATTCCTTTATAATATACAATATATATTTCAGTACATTTTATAGGTATTGTATAAAAATGGATGTTTTCTTATTAAAGCATAATTTTAAGCTCAATTCTTATCATTATACTTTAGATTTATGTAAGTTGTGATGTTTGGCCAAAATACTATTTTAACTGCCAATTATTTTAGTATTTGATAATTATTGTGTGTAATCCATTATTACTTTTAAGGTAAAAAAATATCTAATTGACGTTATGTTTTAGTGTTGCATTAAATACATGGTTTCTGAAAAAAAAAAGGTTAATTTTTATTTTACGCTAGCACTTTTTAATGACATTTATTTTGGAAGATTTATGTTCGTTACCAAATCCAGCTTGACGGTTACTTAGCAGTGGTAAATTTTTATTAATTTGTTTAAGCTAAGCTATATTTTTGTGCAAGTCGCTCTGCTTACCAAAGTGTGAGATAATGTCAAATAAATCGAGGATACGTCCATACTAATTTTTCCTATTTCTTGTACAGTAATACAAGACAACATATCTTACACTTTTGTTATTTTAGTTTGCTAATTGCTATAGTAAATAAAAAATAATTTGCTATAGTAAATAATTTGAATAAACGAGCGGCCCAGTATATTGTGTTGGTTTGGTTAGTCGTCTAGTTCGCAAGTGGCGCCCCCCTCGCCGCTCGCAGTGTTTACTCAGCAGAAGACGAAGACGCCGCCTCCTTCCACACCGACCACCCTCCACCGACTACCGTCCGCAAACGATGGTACATCCGTCGACCCGCCGCCACCGCCTCCGCCACCACAAATGCAACCGCAACGCCCTCTACAACCGCCGCCGCCTCCCCCTGTCAAACAGAAACCACAAGTGCCGCGAAAACCTCAAAAAAAGCGAGTTAGTTTCACTCGGGAACCAGATCACGAACCCGAACAATACGAACAGTTGTCGACGAACGATACGAATACGAACACTCGATCCTTTGTGCATGACGATGATGCGGAATTTAAAAGTTATGAAACTAACGATGCATGTACGGGAATTAGCTCATTACTAATCCAAAATCGACCACCGACAGCCACGCTGGAGGTCTCGAGACCGGTCCATAAGGCAAGTTTAGTACTTCCCGAAGACTTTATCATTCCTCCTCCCCCATCGTTCGATACGAACGAAAATAATATTTCTGTTGAGAATGAGTTGTGTGTGCCGCCCATTACTGTTGTTCCCGAACGTATTGTGCTACCTGAACATGACGAGGCGGAAACATCCATGCAGTATTCAAATTCAACCAATAATTCTCCTGAAAGTGAAATTCCGCCTCCCATAAATTTTAACGCTTATCCGGCGTCAGTTGCAAAGCCTTTCACTATAGACGAGCGATTCCCATCTGGCATAATATCAGATGTACCTTCATTGCAGGTTTTTCGTATGTCTGAATATCCCTTTGCTAGTAGTGACGAATATTATAACGAACTGTCGGTCAGTCCTGGCGGAGAGCCGGATCCGCCTGAACTGCTGCAAGTGCAGTACAAAACTTTGCCTATTGTTTCACACATTCCCAATTCCCCGTGTACTGTTCATCCAGATCAAATATTTAACGATCCGAAAAATACCGCACTTCATCAATCATTACGAGACTTAAGAGTAAAAAGTTTATCTCCGAATATGGTTCATTCAACTACGTACCCTCCTATCAACCCCTATCCATCCTTGACGACGGTTGCGGGAACATTCAATCCATACACCAATACTGTTCCAGTTTGTACCAATCAAAATCATCCCATCTATAAGCAACTGCAGCCTCCCTCTCCACACAGTACTTTAGGGAAGGATGTAAACGCAAATGTTATGCAAACTCCCCCGGTACACACGGATGATAGGCCTAAAAGTGTTCACTTAGAAAGAAGAGTACATTTTGGCGAAGTGACGACTGCGCCCGATTCAGATATATTGTCAATCAATTCGGAACTCGTGAGGGAAGCGAGTACCTCGCCCGCATCCACCCTGAAACCCGCATGGAGCAGCAAAATCAAAGCCTTCGCCATCGGCGAGGTAATCATTAATGTACGGCATCTTACCCTCACACACACTCAGCTTCTTTTGATTGTGTTCGTCGACAACCCAACCAGAATATATAACTAAATACACACATTAGTTTATCATCCTTCTGTTTTCCTTCTCCATTTTTGTTACTTACCCGATTGCGTTATTAACATAGTTACTTATAATTTTGCATGATTATTTACTTACATTTGCATCATTTTTTATTTTATATACATACTAATAATATCGCTGATATATTAACAACTGTATATTGACTGCATGGTTGTTGACCCTGGAAAGATTTCACTGCTTGTAAATAATATCAGGAGCTTTTAACGTCATCGTTATTTGAATTATTTATTAGCTCAGTAAATAAGATTTTCATATTGCTCTATATGTTTCCCAGGCTTCCCCACCTCATTCTGGTAATTTTGTGAAAGCGTCTGTTAGCGACAAGAAAAAATTCTTCGAAAATGCAATGGAAGAAAGCCACAAACCGTCGCCAAAACCAGGTACGTAACTCTTCAAAGTATTTCATGGCCATTTTTTATTCTGATTTTGTAATAGTACTTTGTCTAAAATAATTATTTTGATTTTGGATTTTGGACTATCGATCCACATCCAGTTCCTTCTGTGGGTCTAACGTACACACATAATAAATATTTTTTCTTGAACATTAACAGAACGAGTTTTCACATTCCTATCGGCGGATGAGGTGGAGAAATTGAAGCAGGAAGAGGAAAGGAAGATGGCATCTATATCGCGTGGTGAACTCGACTCGTGGTCCCCGGGAGAGGACCGCCAAAGCGAATACAGCTCGCATTCTGATGAGGAACCCTATGAGAATGGCCATAGGTACATATTAATGATAGTTTTCAAGTTATGATTGACTATTCTAGTTCCTACTATTTGTACATGTACTCACTAATGCTTCCACTCAATTGTTAGAATCATTGTTGGGTGATTTACAATGAAAACATTAACAACCAGCTACTTAAGTTTTATAGATATAAACTGGTTCCAAATTGTTACACAATTCATTAGTGTGAATCAGCCCTTATTATTTAATTACAACTGATGTGGAATATAGTAGTGACTCGTCATGTTCTTTTTTATGGGTTTTGCTTCTAAAACGATGATATAGCTATTGACATCGATCTACATTAGTAGTGTATAAGAGACAATAAGAAAATTTTTCTTATGTAAAGTATGTTTTACCGGAAACTCCAGAGCATATTTAATAATTCCAAATTTTACATTGTTCTCTATAGACATACTATCTGATACATTTTTAATTTATTACATTATTATTTTTGTAAAGGTTCATTAAAATCCATTCAGTTATTTTTGCGTGAAACAGTAACATCCATCCATTCACACTCACACCCTTCCACGTTTATAATGTTATTAAAATATTGTTCATTAAACTAGAGAGAATTGAATGTGGAAAATATAATTGCAGTGTGTCGTTGGGTGGCGTGAGTCCGTCAGCGAAATCCCAGCGGCGGCGAGCCGGCCGTGATGGTAGTGACGGTGAAGACGCCGCCACACGAGCCGCTCGCCGAGCTGAATGGCGCGCAGCCCGACTTCGCTCGCTCGAACAGGTATAACATGAATTTGTGTGATATATATGTATATATACTAATTAGTCTTATATTTAAGTATAGTATTAAAATTTGTATCTAAGCGACTTGTGACTGATTTTAATGAAACTTAAATGAACCAAATCTGGATTGATACATATCCTTCTTGGGATACTTCTTTGTATTCACATGCGAGTAACTGATAGTTCATTTGTATAGAAATGTACATATATAAAGGTGTAATTAATTTATGTATTTTTTTTATATTTGTAGGAAGCGATCGAATCATCAAAGGCAATAAAAAGCTTGGTAGGACCAGCAAATGATATTATACCACCAAGGGATAAATCTCCGTCCGAGGTATGTCGTCCTTATAATTGATACTACAGTTAAATTAATTTGAATGTTGTCCACTTAAAATTACTAAGCAATTTAGTTCATAATTGGAAAGAGTGAACTAGACGGTTGTGACTAATTGATGAGAAAAGACTTCTCTATTAACACTTCTTAGCAAAATAACTAGTTCATTTTCGCCACCTTAGAATGTGTTGTCATAATCCAATAATAAATTAAGTACATCTTGTTTGTCTGTAACTGTTAACATCGAATGGTTATTAACATTACTGTTTTTCTAGCTGGTGTTTCATTACGGAAGCATCATGAAACTATTATTCCTTAACTTACTCGTATACAGAAAGGTCTCATCCTATATATTTTCTTATTACACAATACTTAAAGAACTATGTGATGCGTACTTGTAATTAATGTTTTAACTAAAATCTAACATGTGGTTGTTGATCTGTTAAATGTGGGAGGGTTTAATTGTCGCTTGTGTGGCGTGACATGTTCGTCCACATTGGGTTGTGAATGTCAAATTGGCTTTACAAATTATAGAAATGGCCTCTACCACGTATCGCATTACGTACAAAACCGGGGCCTATACTAGCGGTGAAGGAGAAAGAAAAATTATTAGATGAGCGCATTACACTACGCACCGAGGAATATGTGTGCCCGTCAACCGGCGAGACCAAAGTGCGGACAGTCGAATACATAGAGAAAGTGATTGAGAAAGAGGTACGCGTCGCCACGCACTGTAAATTGTGCTGCATAGTATATAAAAGACGCTGTACACAAGCAATGCCGTATCGTGTGTGGTTGTTTATTATTTATATTACTATATCTTACAACATATGCTTAGCTTTTTACGTGCAAAACATGGACTTGAGTTGTGACTTGACTGCCGAATACGACAGATAAAACATTGTATTTACTGACTGCGAGAGAGTTGTTTTACTCGTACGTACGTATGTATTTTTATTCCTTCGTATCATCCAAACGATGGATTTTAGACATTATATTTGTTAAGATGACTCAACAACAGGTAGTATAAATATATGAAGATGTTGAACAGAACAGAGAAAATAAATTGTTGAATTAAAACAAACGTCTCATAATCTTGTACATGTAGGAATTATATGAAAGTGTTTATTGCAAGAATCTTCTGTGCCAAGTGTTAGCCAACACTAAAAAAAATTCTAAACCGGATCACAAACTTTACGTGTTTATAAAATTTCTATAGATATACTGTATATTAACTGGCTCTTTCGTAATATATCTATAATCTATTTTTATGGTTATTCTAACTATCAAATGTTTGTGACTTTGTGACTTTCACCTTTATATTATAATCAACTATTTTACGACTGGATTGACTGACTAGTGTCTAATTTCGTGTAAAAACACTTGGTGTTACTATTATGGGGCTATCTTATTGCACTTAATGATTTACTTAGCACATTATCGTGAAACACAACTCGTTCAGGTAGAATAGAAAATTAATCACGTAGATACTACTTACACGTTTTAATTTGATGTGGTGATACTATTGTATAATTTATTTAATCAACAAGTATATCAAAATCGGAAGTTGTAAATACATACCTACTATATCACTATGCTCTTGATATATTTGATGTTTTATCTGTTGCATGATATTGTGGCATGGCATGTTAATATAAATATTGTATATCATTTTGTCAGACGATACCGGGATTCTAGACATGGAAAACCACATCTTCAGTTAATGGTTTGTTGTGTTTTATATATATTTATTCATTTATTCATTTGCTTTGATTGTGCATACTTAACCCACTAATTGCTGGCTTGCTTTTTTGTACTAGATATGGAGGGATGGGTAAAATTTCATGTTACGACACTTTTAAGATTTCCTGTTAGCAAACTGATGAAAAATTGATTAATTACGATCTAAGACTTGTGTTGTATTATTTTTTTGTCTAAATATTATCAATGAATATTCGAACTACTATTGTTTATTCGATCAGTTCAAGTTAATATCAATGTAATTCAGTACAGTACCTACATACCTTATATATACTTTGTGTAATTTAACAAAATAGGGTTCAGTTGTCATCCATAATGAGTGGTTCTTTATGGTAGTCGATGGCAGCAGAGTATGTCCTGCAGTAATCTCTTAAAGGCTAAAATAGGTATGGTCATAATAGGAGTATGCACATATTAGGATAATAATAATATATGTGCATATTATATATAACTAATTTTACGGCAATTTAACGGCGCAATATATGGAAACTTGCCTACAAGCCAAGTACATTGAAAATGCGTGTAACTCTCATGCGTGTACGTTGTTACTCCTGAGGACTAAGATGTTGTTTCCGTGCTGTATAATTTTCCCGCCATATATCATCCTAGAAACTCGATAATAGCTTGCAAATTAGTATTAAAATATTCGTGACAGGAGTACCCAAGAAAGTGATACATTTTAAAGTAATCTAAAATTTGTCATCAACCAGTTATTTTCGATATAAACACTGGTATATACTACATATATTTTAACATACAACATTCTTGATAATATGGTGCTTCAGGATAGGGCTATCTATGTTACCTTGTTCTATTGTAATTTTATTTTTATGTAATTTTACTAAGTACTAAAACATATATTACAGTTGTACGATACGAAAAGACTGTATATTTTGTCAACGTAAATAATATGTTAAAGTCTATTGTCGCCAATTGAACTATTTATGACACATTTCTCAAATGTCTCCAGCGTAGACGATTGAAAACATATGTGCAACTACCGACGAGCCGAAGCCATATAGGCCGTAATTATAAAATACAAATTTCCAAAACAACGAAAATTATTTTATGAGTTTGTATATATCTGCTACATGCAGTACATTTACGGTAGGAAAATATGTATGTTCTGTTATTAATATGACCTAGTCCACATTAAACATAATAACTGGTGGGTAAACATGCATACATTAATTTTAAGAACGCTTGTTAAGTTAGAAATTGATTTGCCAAATCCTCGCAATAATTTCAGTTTGCACTCACTAGCCAACTGTTTAAAATTCATTATTAATTTTTTTATTGTCACATAATTTGTCATTTTCTAAGAGAGCCATGATTTCTACATTCAATTAAAACATGATACATCGACATTTGTTTCAAACTAATAAATTACTAATAATTTATACATAATAATTATATTTATGTCATTTAAATTATACCTACTGTTCATAATATTATTGTTTGATACAATTTTAAAAATATCGTATACTCATATATCACTACTATACCAATTCCGTATAATCAAATTGCCGTATTCATATATATTTTTGTCAACTCATTCACGTTATAGTTACTGGTATTGTACTAATGTCAGTTATACCTCATAATAAATATGTTAACATAACTCTGATATTTATGCAGGTGGAAACAACGCAAGAAAAAATAATATCACTAGAGCTCACTACGAGTCCAAGTAGTGAAACCGCGCCCACCGACCTTGCAGAGGCCGGTATCAGCTTAGGGGAGGGCGAGATTGAAGGTGATAACTCTCTCCAACCAGATATAGTGCAGGTGGTGAATCCTCTCCTGGACAGCAGCGCAGGCCTTGTTACGGCGATTCCTGTGGGACCAGGGCAAAGAATAACCGCCTATTCTGAACAGCCACAGTAGAAGCAAAGATCTCTGCGTTCGTCCTCCTTGTAACCCTGCTCTTACCCAAAACCCATGACATTGCATCAGCCAACACATCCCACGACTCGGCTCTAGTCGAGATTCGAACTCGATTGTAGATTTCTTCAACGACACGAATAGCTATTATGGCACTGAATCAGTTTTCCATCTTATTTTTGTATTATAAACTGTGATAATAAGTTTAGATAACCACCACCGACTTCTTGTGTTTATGGGACAATTTGAAGAAATCAACCAACGAGGGTCAAAGGCATTTTTATTATATCTGATCACAATTATATTTTTTTATTTCATTTTGAAACGGAGATTTTTAGTAATATGGATAGATAACTATTATTATCTATTTTGGTATTATAATTTAAATACTTTACGTATTTAATTTTAGAGATTTCATTCCGTGAAGGTTTTTATTGTTTGACTGTAGGTATGATGATGCTTGACCTGCTAAATGGAAACATTGCGGTTTTATGAATGACGTTTAGAATGTAATATTCGGTATATATTTTAAATATAATATTTTGTATATAACTTCTAAAAGCGTAGGAATTATTGTTCATACACGAAGTTGGGCATCACAGAGTAAAAGTTCCAATTAAAGTTATTTTATTCTTTGATATATTTAGTTTAAAATAATTTGTGTATTTTATTAATTCTTACAGTATTTATATTTGCTGGTGAACTAGTATTTTAATGTATCGTCTTTGTACTTTTATTTCTAGTTTTATTTTATGTGGTGCCTTAGTATCTCATGAGGATTTTTGCAATGTTACGTATTGTGATTTCGTTCTATCAATTCTATGTTTGCTATCTGTTTTAATAATTATTTAATAATATAAATTTTGTAGTAACATACAATAGTGATGAATTAATGCATTTGGATCGTTGGAGCCGTTAATTGTACATCTAAAGTGGTTTTAGGAATAACCAACTTACTGTCCATAAAGTTTGAAATGTACATTTCCGCGAGTGATCGTATGAACTGTATGTATTGTAATAATAGTATTTGATTTATATTTAATGGGCGAAACGAAATGAATAATGTTTCGAATGTACGAATGTTTTATATGTGTGTCCTTTATATACCTTTTTAAGGCTCTATAGCGCAGTATGTGAATTGTAAACTAATGAAGATATTGTATGTTTGTCCCAATTAAATGGTTTAATATATATTTTAATAAAATTATACAGTTATTTTATTTTTATTTCATATTACTCGTTAATTATCATAAATAAAACAGCATATTTAATGATATATAAATTTTGTCATATTTAATATTTAGAAAACACAATTAAAATATTTTTTACATAATGAACAACAAAAATACTTAAAAATACATAATGAATTATATTAAAATTACTTCTTTGGAGCGATGATGCCCTCGAGTTGTGCCTAAAATAATGAAAATAGCATATTAGGTTATGGATATGTTACACAAAAAATACAATAAAAAGCTTAAATAATAATATTAAAAATATTTTTCTTACATTTAAAAGGAATATCTTCAGTTAGAACCTACACCTTCTGACTCAAGATATTCCTTTTAAATGTAAGCGAGAGTTCAACTACGATTATTTTATCTAATTTATATATATTTTTAAGTCATTATAAATGAGGATAATAAAACATTTATTTCAATTACGTGGTAGGAAATCAATCGAATATAGATAGTATATACTATAAAGTATCACTTTAAAGATTACAATAAAAATTAACATCCTACCTTTAGTTGAACATTAGTTTTCTTTAACGCAAGCAGTTCCTCCTGGTGGCGTTTCTCCTCAGCTGCACGTAGTTCTGCCGCTCTTCTCTCTAGTTGCTCAGTTTTCTGTTTCAGTTCCATACATTGCTTCTCTAGGGCTGAACGCTCGCCTTCTAGTTTTGCTACTTGGTCCATAAGGTCCGATTTGCCTTGCTCTGACTGTAATATATTGGATGTTATTGATATTAAGAGTTCTTAGATTTATTATGTCGTTACCAGAGATTGCTTGTGGTACTCCAATTCAGAGATAATCCATAGATATGTGATTTTTTTTTCATACACCTACTGGTTTATCAGCTTTTGTAATAAATTTCCTTAAGCAGTAACTTTCATTCGAGTGACCGGGAAAAAAACGGCATATTATCATTTCTACCTCCATGTTAAATCTTAGTGTATCCATATACCATGTACCATATCTGTACTAAATTATGACAATTAGTTCCTGCAGCAAGAATATGTTTGCGTGTTACGTACACGCAAACATATTCTTATGTTTATAATATTAGTAAGAATACCTGTAATGCTTTTCTCATTCCAAAAGCTATAGAACTGCAATAAAGGGTTTGGTATGCTTCCATAGTGATTCTGGCTTCATCACGTACTCTTAGTAGCAGTAGACCTCTTTCTCCGCAATTAATGGTTACCTTAAACAAATGTTTTATAAAGTATTAAAAACCACTTTGAAATTTTATTTATACGTACATATGTAATTAGAGTGGGGCTATCGTAGCCTGCTGCGGTGCAGGAAAACTTGATAGATTGTGATTGGAAGGGAAGAGTATTATAAAATGAAACCATCTATATAAATAAAGAACAATTGAAATAGGAATTCAAAACCTGCTCTCGTATATAATTCTCAAATTAATGAGTTAAATGTTGTTACTAACCTGACGGATTAGCTCGTCAAAGCATTGAGTATAAAGTTGTCTGCGTACAGGACAAATACCCGTCTCTCTAGCCTGGCGCTGTTGTAGACGTGTGTCCAACATTTCTTGCAGGTTTATTACGTCTAGACGTGTGGCTGGTGTTGATGATATCTATACATATAGGCATTCGCATATTAGGTAAACCAATAAAATAGCTACATGTATGTATATGCAACGAAAATGGGATATAGATACTTTTAGCGTTCCACTTTCTTCGAAACCGTGTACGACTTTAACTCAAATTTTTTTTATAAATTAGTTCTGGACTTCAAATTAGTCCGACACTAAAAACTTTATGTGAATTTTATTTTTGACTGACTTTCCTGTGGTTGAAACACCAATAACATACAATATTAATTCTAGAGAAATCTGTAGCTACGTCTAAGTCACATTGAAATATACTGAACGAAATGTGAAAATGTCGATGACTTTGAGTTTGACTATCTCATCAGGTATAATAGTGGATAGTATTTTATTTTACATGCTTACCTTTTGAGTCCATATTTGACCTTCTTCTTCCCATTCTTTGGGAGGTAGAATAGCATTCAATATTTCTTCAGTTTCTCGTTTAGCCTCAGTAGGCACGCATGGCTGTGCTACTGCTCCTGTGCGCGGCGATGTCTGTAATTAAATAGTCATTACCAGTCCCTTAGTTATTTATGCCTATTTATTTATTTATTGTCGTATCTATTATTTCAATATATTTACTTAAGCTTTGTAAATTCGGGTAAAATGCAGTATGGAATTACAAGGAAGCTTGTGTATTAAATTTCATTCCAATCACTCTGCTGTTGCAAAGTAATTCGAGTAGTAAACATTGTGTAAACTCTTATATTCATAATATTAATTACATTGTATACGTTGTCTATGAGAATACGAAATCTGTACTAGATAGTTTTACTACAATTACAATTAACTAGATAGGTTACCTAACTAATGATACCTGCAGTTTACCCACAAATATATACTTACAACTTTCTCCGGTTGTTTAGTGACTAATACAGGATTATCGTAGCGAACTAAAGTATCTTCGGCTGATACTGGAGATCTCTCAGTCATTTTTCTTTGCGATTTATTCTATTAATATAAAGATTTAAATTCGCCTCTAATGAATCCTATTGCTTCAAATGACACTTCTGACATGTAAACAAGTGTCTTCACATAACCATGGGAACTATGGTTGCATAGTAACATAACAAATTAAATCCCTACTACACAGGCCTAAAATTCACTAGTGAATGCCTATCGAAATCACGTTTGTGTAGGTAGAATATGCTAAGACATCGGAAGCCGTTCTGAACTTTTGTTATGATAGTAAAACAAGTATAGGACCTTCAGTTTAATTGATAGTGTAATTATAGATAAGACACCTAACATAGACTATCCATCCAGCTATGATTGGGTCATTCTCGCTTTTAGACTGTCTGTGCTGCAGTACCCAATTCGAATAACGATGTCACATGTAAGCAAACAGACTACGGCAAGTGTCTGTATAAATTTTTTGAAGAGGGGAATAATGAGATCCAATCATGAACACAAGTGTGACAAACTTGCGAAATAAATTAACATTTATATAGAGAGGTAATAATAAATTAATACATTAGTACCTCTCTGTATAAAGTATTGAAAACGTATTCGTTGTAGACCTTCAGTATCAGTCGGCTATCGTATATATATGTAGGTACCCTAAGAATTAAAATTTAACCGATTGAACTTATCCTTAGGTAGTAAATATATTTAGATGTGTTAAAAGAAAAACGTGAATATTTTCCATACTATGTAATAAGTACTTTATTTCATAGGCTTCATAAATAAACATTTCACTATCAAAACGAAATATAAATTGTCTTTATCACTTCCTTATGTTCCACCATACAGGTTGCATCCATAATATATCGATTCCGTAGGAATTGCTGTTGCAGTGTCATCACTGAACACATTAAGGAGGCATATTCATTGTGAATCACTACTGGAACTTGAACTTGAATCTGTGGACATGACTTCAACATCCTCCTGTGTGTGAGCATCCTTCCCACGACTATCAATGGCTACTGAGTTACCACCTCCTACTGACATATGAAGTTCGCCGGTGGGGTGCCATGTGAATTGATTTGTTGCTGTAGTTGGTACTGTGAACAATATATATAACCAGTTTTTTAATGGAAAATGTAAAATTAATTTAATTAGGTAAAAAATACATCATAAAGTTATATGTAATAGGAGCCAGTCGAAACTACTACACACACACATTCACATTCACATGAATAAAACCATGCCCAGTCTTTACATCAATATATTAAATAATATTAATTTCATTATTTCCTAGTATGCATACAAAATTATCAATTTATGGAACCTCACCACATAATAAACCCAACTTTACTAAGGAAAATAGATATTGATGATTAATAATAATATAAAGTGTAGCCATGCTTTGCACTCATGATCATAGAACAAAGGAAATTAATTGAATACTGAGAATATGAGTAATATTTATTGTTACCTCCGCCAGTAGTAATTCGATGGAGATCATTCAGTGTTGATGGTGTGTGACCATTGAGTGGTAGATCACAGAGGCGACCAAGCATACCCAGTCTCATCTCTAGGTCTGTGGGGTATGGACGTCGAGGGTCCCCAGGTTGCCAAGACAGTGGTGCACTAACGGCATTTGATGCACTAATCCTGGAATCATTGATTAAACATTAAGGTATGTGCTTACATTCTTTTAAAAAACAAACTAGTCAATATTTATGTAAAAGTTTGTCTAAATTTATTATAAATTTAGTAGTTTTTTAAGAGAATAAGATGTTTTAATGTAATGATTATATTAGTAAATAGGATTTATGTTGTATAAATATGTAATAAAACTATTAATGACTGAAAAATATATTTTAATGTTATGGTAGATAGAGAAGGTGACACAATATAATAATTTGTTTTTATATTTTTGATTATAGAATAGAAAAAACCTTTAAATATATTAATATCAAAAGAGTTTTCTCAACAATTTAGAACATAATAATAACAATTAGGTCATTAATAAAAATGTTGTTATCCATTGAGTCAGAGTACCCAAGATACTGGCAGCGTTCTGTTTGCAAATTCCCATGTTTATTGTCTGGGTACAGCTAGTTACCAGCTCGCTGGTTACCATTCACCTTGATGAACCATGAATAAAATTTCAAAAAGTATTTCTAAGATCACATCAATTTTCTTGATGTGATCTTAACTTTGGTTAAGTTAAGAAGTGTGGAAGTTGTGGAAGTTATAGCCACTAAAGTTGTGTGACACTTTCACTCTGTATCTTTCTTTTTTAAATTATAAGTCAAATTAAATAACAAAATAATTGTTCAAATGCATATTCAAAATATAATTATAATATAGTTTACTAATATAAACAGAATTTACATACCTATGTGCAAATTTTATTAGTTCTTCAGATGGAACTGGTCTTTTTCTGGATTTTACAATTGAAGCAAGTTTTTGTCTTGCTTGATACAAGGATGTAGCTAAAATTTGTTCAGCATCCTTTAGTTGCCTCTGAAGATGATGTATATCTTGATCCTAATAAATGTTCATAATTTAAATATATAAGTTACAATACAATTCATTGATTAATATAAAGTTTGGTGCCATATGAACTTGTAATTTACGTAAAAAAATGCCGAAGTCTTGTTTTCTAATAACAATATAAATTTATATAAGAGACATAAATATAGAATAGTCTAAAGTACCTTGTTATCAACTTCTGCTTTGAGATCGTTCATTTTTTGTTGTATCTTAGCTTGTTCTTCAGCTAATTCTAAAGTATTTTTTAATTCTACATCCTTTGCTAGAAGTAAGTCCGTCAATTGAGCAAACTCGGCAGCTGATAATTTCTGTGATTTTGGAGCTATGGATACCTCAATAATCTCTCTGAAATTATTTTAATAATGCAGCGTAATGGACATTTTTATCTAAAGACAGGTTTTGTATACATTTTAGCAATTATATAAATGTAAACTTACTTTGCTATTAATTCTATATCATCTACAAGTGAGAGCAATCTATCCTTTGTACTTAAATGTGACGCCATAATGTTAATTATAATAACTTTGCATTAATTATATGTGGTGTGTAGTAAATTATATTATTATAAGAGTAACAATCAAAACAAATACCGAATTGATAAATACTTTGGAGCGAATCAAGAAAGTAATATAGACTATTGAACAGCGCAGCGTGTCAGCGTCGCGACGAACTGTCAATGTCAATTCAGTCAGTATTGAATGTTTTGACATATTAAGTTTCAATGGCTGTATGGGCTGAATCCTTTTGCCTTTCCACATGATAGGTAAAACGAACTAAAAACAAAACAGAGCTTTCTTTTAATTGATGAATCTTCACTGTTTTGCGTAGTGCTTACTTGCTCAATGGGTGTACTTGCTTTAGAAAATATGGTACACGCTGACTGGCTATATCACTAAGAATTAACTAGGATGGTTTCCAGGGAAATCTCATGGAGATAACACGGTATCCACATTACCAGCAATGAGACCATCGTGATTAACGATCACTTTCAACCTCTTCGGAACAGTGTTTTTTTGGCACCAGTTACTCACGGAGCATATAATCCCTACATTTTTACTTTACTATTTTACACTTTACCCTACCCTTCTCGGTTTGCTCCGAATAGTAAATATTATAGAAAGAAAGAAAGAAAGAAAGAAAGAAAAATATTTTATTCAGTGCAATGTAAAAAATACAATATAAACAACAAACGAAAAAAAAAGAGCAAATAAAATGTACATATAATTAAACTTAACTTACCGTGTAGATAATAAAAAATTATGATAAATGATGATGATAAAATAATCATTTTTTACATCCAAAAATGCACTGAAATGGCTCCACTCAGCTTTAATGTACATATGTCTTAGGTGAACATACAGCTGGTTTATATGCATTACAATACCTGATACGTGTATCAGAGTCCTTACACAATGCAAACATTTGTATTCATGAGTGTGATTGTTTGTATTGATCTGGATTTCATATGGATGTTACCCATGTATTTACAAAATAAATTATTTATGTATTTCCATCAGTTGTCTAGTAGGTGCCCGTAACACAAACTCTGCTTAACTTGGAACTAAATGGCGCTGTGTAAAATATCTAGGGATATTATTATTAGGTAGAGCTGCTTTTGGTACAAACGGGCAGATACACTAAGGAAATAACATAGAAGGCCATTTGCTTTACATCTATTTATAAACACGTGTGTGTGGGTAATACTACACATTTTAGTTTTTTATATATTTTTATAAATAAAAATAAGGTAGAGTTGTGTAAGAGATTTATTTTTATAAATTAGTCCTAAATTAATCATGGAAGGCTCTACTAAAAACTATAATTGGGAGGATAGGCTAGAAAAAGTCTCAAAGAAATTACAAGAAGTATGACGTCTTAATCCTCTAGAACTGCAAAGCAAGAGGGTATCACACGTACATCATACCGTGAGGTCCGTAGTACTGTTCATGTATATATAGGCGATGGTTTCCAATTCCGCTTGCATAATTATAAAAAAAATAAGGCTTCTTGCACCATTTCGTCATTAGGTTTACTATAAAGCTTGTGTAATGGAGTTATAATACAACATTGATACCCCATAAACTTTTTGTGATTCTAGTAGACTATCTCAGAGGCTCTCCCTGTTCTCCAATGACAAATCAATCAATGGAATATTGCAGTAATTATCTAGTATTCTTAGAAAAATGCTCTAAGTAATAAATACATAAATACATAGGTCTTTATTTAGCGGTTTAAGTAGGCGATTCGTTTTGAAGGAACTTCACGTCGTAGTTTACCTCTAGGGTCGAATATCATAACACAATATCGGTGTGTCCTCACAAACTGCAAACTGACTGAACCGGCATTTCTAGCACGCGGGCAATGCGTGAACAGCTGGCTGTGTGGTGGTGGTGTGGGTACTCGCGGGTGTAGGGTAAGAGGTAGTGGGGGCCATGCCGTGAACATGCGCACTGCACGTGTTCATGGGCCTTTATTACTGTGACACTTTTAATCAACCTACTTGAAAATAAGGAGGTATTTTTATTGATTGTTGTTTTTCTGTATTTATTTTGAGCTCCGTCAATTTTGAACATATTTTGACCGATTATGCAGATATTAAGTCAATAGACTATAATATTGTCAAGGTGGCAAAATTTAACATAATATAAAATTTGCGATTATGCAGCGAAACCGATAGATGCTGAAACGTTGGTAGTGCTGGCTGGCAGCATTTCGTATCATAAAGCTTATTTGTTTCTGCTACAGTAATGTGTCGGTTCCTGTGATTGATTCTGAGAGAAGTCTCTGCTGCAAGTGGGAGAGCAGTCACAGCACCACAGACCTCAAAAGTACTAATCCAATGTATTATATCCACGCTGTAATACGCAGTACAGTGCAGTGCACTCTAATAAAGGCCTGCGGTTATATCGCGTACCACAGAATATATTATTGAAAGTATCAATAATTCATTCAATCTTGTATTTTTATAATTGTCATCTGAATAACATCTCATATTACATTAAGAAATAAACACCAATGAATAGTAATTGATTTATGATCTGTTATGGCTAGAACAGTATTTTTTATAGGTTCAGCTTGATGCATTTGACCTACTGGTTTGTTTTTAAGTTAGTCTGTGGCAGAGGTTTCGTTTTCACGGCGATGTCGAGGGGAAAGAGGTAGGGGAGAGAGAGCGTTATTATTGTTGATTCGATCGTCTATCCAGTAACCAGTGTTCGTTTTGCAGTAGAGGTGCTACTGACTCTTCTGCGAATCTCATGGAACATCGTTCCTTTCAGTCAGCGATCGTATTAAACAAATCAAACATTCGTCACAAACGCGACAATTGCCGAAAACAACAAATCCTGCTTCTACTATTATGTTGTTTAAACGGGTCTTTGAAAGAAAGTCCATGTTGAACGCTGACGCCAAGAATAAGTTGTCGGAGAAATGTTCTAGAAGGAAATCCGAATGTGATGGCTGTGGCGAACATTCCACGTGAGTTTTATGTATTTAGGTAACTTTTTTAATAGGTAGCATTATGTTTTGTCTGTATTATGATTGTATTGTGATTTTTATGATTATGACCATTCTTCTCATGGTCACATGTGAAGAACTTCAAAAGTTAATAAATATAAACAAATTAACATTAGTACTCATATTCATCCTTTTAAAGAATAGGTACTGGTTACCCGCCCAGGCTTAACACGGGTGTGCATCTATGATACATATAAACCTTCCTTTTAAATCACTATATCTATTGCTAACAACTGGATTAAAATTGAAAGTAATAGATTTAAGCGAACAGTAAGCGGAACCTACTTCATTATATACCTATGTAAATATGAGTTTACATAATCATAAATATCTAGTTCATGACAAACTAATTTTATTTTGAGAATCGGATGAGAATCCTAGTGGATAGTAGACATTTCATTCCTGTATATATGAATATACATTCCAAACTTGTATTATCTTCAATAGACTTTCTTTATATTAACGAAGGTCCTAGTCTAATACAGGTACTTAAGTACTGTACGATAGCGCCTGACCTAATTAACTCTTCTTGTGAGTTAAATATTACCTACTTCACTGATATTATACATATACAGAGGTTGGATACTATCACTAATATACAAACCATTTAGATATGTGTTAGTAAGTATATCGGTAATTAGCACAGTGAGAAGGATATTTTTGAATTAGAACAAAATGTTGTTGACATATATTTCACTAAAGCACATAAACAACACTTTGAGTATTAATCTTACTTTCTTTGAGTATAAACTCATTAGTAAGTAATCTAACTTAATTGTATGCATACAGGTCCACATAATATAAACACTAGTTGACCCGCAAACGTTGTTTTGCCATATAAATTAAAATTGGTATTAAAAATATTGGTTGGTGATAGAAGGGTGAAAATTTAGGGTTTACGTATTTTGAATGCCACATTACGAAAAAAAATGTTAGGGTGGACCCTTATCACTTAGGGGTATGAAAAATAGATAGTAGCTGATTCTCAGACCTACAGAATACGCATATAAAATTTCATAAAAATTGGTCATGCCGCTGCCGTTTGCGTGGAGTATGGTAACTAACATTATGACACGAGAATTTTATATATACAAGTAAGAAGACATATATGCAACAAAACCGGTACATTCGTAGATAATTAAGCATACGGTTCACCGTATGATAAGCGGTTACATCGATCTATTAACACTTTTATTGCTACCCTAATATATTACCCGCTTAATTTAATACTGCATTTACTAGACATACAATATTTTGTAACTAGACTTCAAAGCTAAATCTTGTAGTGGATTTTCTAAAATTGATAATGTTTTGGGTATATAACTAAAACTATATTTTATGTAACTATGTACCTACATGAATATTTCTTATAGCACTTAAATTTTGTAATTAATTTTTTTATTGTAATTGTTTACGATCGTAAATAGCCTTTTTATTTTTAGTTCCACATCGTACTTAGAACTACGTTTACTATTGTTTTGATTCTTTTTATAAAATTATACACATTCTGCTTATACATTTCACGGTGTTTCCTATATACATATAAACATCATCAAGTACACAAAACGACTGATCAATATTTTACTTTGTTATTCAACATGCAATATGGGATAACCACCCAACAGTAATGTTATTTTGTGAATTAAGACATAATTAGGTACTTTACTGTTTATTTATTTACATAGTTGTTTCATTTTATTCTGTGGTTAAGAGGTCAAAAATCTCTGTAAAAGAAAACAAACTGTTTAGTATGCTTATTAAGACATTTGTATGCTAATAAGTGTAGGTGTATCAAAGTTTATATATAAATCTTAAAATCGAATCACTACTTTAAAAGAGTCATCTCCATTGCGGTAGTAAGCGGTCAGTCTCGTAGTTATTCATCGTATAAATAAATAATCACAAAGTGCGTATTTACTACTTTATCTACTACAAAGGGATTTTTCAGTAAGTATGTAGTCATTGTAAGTAGTCAACATTTTAAAAACATTCCAGAACAAAGAGATGGATTTTTTTGCGTGATTAAAATAAAGAATGCGTTTTACTTTAGGGAAAATAATGTTTGGATTAGATCAACTGTTCTCATTATCATAATCACTCAATAACTAAGGTATAAGAAATTAGATATTCATCATTATTTCTGAGATATTTAATTCCCTTAGCGATATGATTGGTTTTTCTCAAACTGTTGAATAATCATCGCTGTATTGGTATCGAATAGTGATGCACGCCGCAAGATGCAAAAGGGTGAGATTTTATGCAGTAGTTTCTTATATTATATTAATAATTGTTATGAATTGTTGTGCTGAAACAATTGAACAAAGTCACGCCATATTTGTCTGTAATTATAATGAATCGAATAAGCTTGAAGTATTTTGGTGCCTAAAGCAGCTAGTGTATCAATAAGAGCTATTTCTTCATTATAAAGTAACTTATTTATGTAGATAAAGGAACTCATTGGTAATCGCTTTTAAACATAACGAATGGACATTGAAAACGTGACAGATTAAACAAAAGAATTGTCTATGACTTGTAGATATAATTAAGTAATTTAATTAAAATTTTGCAACTACTTCCTAATTTTTACTTAGGTTACCTACTACTCGATAAATGAGAATTGGTCTAGAAATTAATTATATTTTTGAAGGCTTTAAAACTAAAGAAAAAGATATTTACACGGAAGCTAATAGATACTTTTCAACCGACTTTGTAAAGAAGGAGATTTTTTATAATGTATTTTACATTGATATCTTTAGATTTGTTAAACAAACATAGATTTTATTACAATTGTTAGAATTTATATGTTATCGACTGATCATGATTGATTTTTTTATGAAGGGGAATTGCTTTATATTTTTTAATGAAATAATACAGATCAAGTTACTATCTATCATAGGTACATCATAGCTATCTTAATAGTATTTCGTGAAGCCCGATCTAATTCTTTCAGAAGTTTTAAATATTCTCGACTAATAGCAAACTAGTTCAGATTGTTTCCTATTTTATAAAACCAAATGCATTTATTCATATCGACCACAGTTTTTTTTAAATTTTATGACTCAATCGGGGTTTCTATGATTTTGCCAATATCAAGGGTGAGGATATTTTTTGTCAGTTATCCATGTCACTCTATCCTCCATATAGTCTTCAATTTAAGCGAGTGTTGAATAACTGTAATCCAAGTTAAAATCGGAACGTGACATTTAAATATGCGTGTACAGGAGGCTCGTGGAGCCTATTCCCAGCCTTAGTGACGAAACACAATTACAAGATACCATTAATAAGGTCAAGTTATCAAAGGTTAATATTGATAAGTAATATGTTCATAATGTACAGCTTAATAAAACCGTTTACTTCATTATTTGTTGATCAGTCTCAATTGGGAGTGCTTTGTAACGGTTATTATTGTTTTTTCTCTCAAACTGGATTTTAGTCGCGGTATACGGTTGGTTTTATCAAACTAATCGAGAAATTATTCAGATTACAAAACATGACGGAATAATTATTGTTTTGTTTGCGGTTTTGTAGCATTCTGGAAGAGATGATGAAGATGGTGCTGCTTGGTGTTGTGCTGTGGGCAGGCGTGACATTTGGAAGCCATGTAGCACCATATCCACTTAATTTATTGGTAACTACAGGTCAGTCTATAATATGCACATTCTTCTTAATAAAGAAGCTAATAAGCTCATCAAAGTATTAAGTATATGTATAAATCATACATTAGAATAGAATAGAAAATCATTTATTCAAATAAACTTACATTGAAGCACTTTTGAATAGTCATAACATTTTTTTTTTTTTTTTAATCTACCGCTCATTCGGAATGCTGTCTCATCACAAGAAGAACGAGCAAGAAACTTGTGTGTTGCTCTTTTAAATAATTTATTCTTACTTACAATTTAAGTTTAAGTGTGTGAATACAAACCACCGATTAGCACTAATTCAATTAAATGCTCAAAAAGAAAAAAATATTGAATACATAACCAACTGGTTAAACAATTAATAAGAGGTAATCAGTCATAGTGATTCGAGCAGACCAGTCCCTACAAGCAGCACCCGTTCACGAGTATGACGGATGAGCCAGCCATCACTGCGCTCGACCATATTTTAGGGAGCCCAATGACCCGGCCCACCACGCCGCCACAAGTCTGGACATTTTAGTGAGCATGACTACTCAAAACACCAGACCACGTCATAGCTACTCACAATTGCCATCTGATGTTTATAGTATTCACATTTCACATAAGAATGCATGCGGCAATTAATACAAAACCCGCTACGCTTTCATATTTCTAAAATAATTGAATCAAGAAAGCAATGAGATAAACAAATTATAACGTTGTATGCTAATAAACTAATTATTTACTTGATATGTTGTCTTCTATGAATTCGTCTATCCTGTAATAGGCTTTCTTACATAAAAATTGTTTAATATAAGATTTGAATTGCCTCTCTGTCAGATTTAGTGCAGATTCTGGCAGTTTATTATAAAATCTTACGCAATTACCATAGAATGAATTACTGACTTACATTAACTTACAGATACTATGCATCCACCGCCCATGTACGACTTTCCATTTCCAAGTCCTGAGAAATTAAAGAGATTGCCGACAGTGACGGCATCGCTAAAGAACAGGTCTTTAGATATTAGCAGACTTAGCGTTGCTTTGTTGGAGAGATTGGAAACTAATCTGCAGTCTGCTGGGATTACTCCGAAGACTGGCTCGCCTGCTCAAGGGCTTGCTATTCTTGGATCTCCGTCTACCGATGCTATGCATTATGAACAGTCCTCAATGATTATTACGAAAGCATCTCAGAACTTAGTTCATAATAGATGTGAAAGGTAAGACTAAGCTAAGTTAGTTATCATTGTGCTTATATATTTATCATCAACATAATTAATGGTACAGTGATGGATTTATAGTTTTAGAATATTCAATTCATTTATTTTCTAGTTGAAAGTAAATGAATTCAATATATTAAAAAAGTTTTTCTTTTTGATGGAAAGTATTTACTTTCGTTTTGGTCCCATAATTATTAATTTTATGTACATTATAATTAATTGATTTCATGTCATATAAATTGAATGGTTAATACAATAATAATATTTAATTGAATTATATTTGTTATAGATATTATCTTTGTTTATGTATAGATATGGCCTGGCAAATGATGAATGCGCGAGTTATATAAGCACGTTAAGATTGCGCGAGAGTGAATATGGTGGGGAATGTGCTGGATTAGAACGTTTCACGTGTCCTACACAGATGATCTCCTCTCGGTATCGTACTTTTGATGGCTCCTGTAACAACCCTGTACGTTCGTCGTGGGGACAGGCTTTAACTGGATACAAGCGATTATTACACCCAAGATACGCCGATGGTATCGAACAGGTCAGACATAATTACTCTGTGCATTTTTGTTATAAATATATCAGTTGTTTACTTGTTTGTTTTAAATGCTCTTTGTTTAGAAGTTAAATAAAGACAAAGGATTTATTCATGATCATATTAAACACATTCACGTAATATCTACTATTATTACCTATCTCATATTTATGTACAGTCGTTATACTACAATAATTTTTAATTTGCTGCCCTGTCCAGTTGTGCAATTATTGTCATCTTTATTTTAAAATTCCTTATATTTACGTAATTATTTCAGTTTTTAATTTGCATTTCAATATTTGAATTTGTATTCCTTACATGTTTTATTCCATGACTATTTTTTATATATCTATGTTATTCTTGCAGCCACGCCGAGCCGTTAGTCAAAAATCATTACCCTCCGCCCGTATGGTTAGCGTAAAGTTGACTGATAACTTAGATAAACCTGATGATGAAAAGACAATTGCATTAGCAGTTTGGAGTCAATTTGTATACAATGATTTGGCTCATACACCTGTACGAAAAACAGGTAAGTTTATGTGACTAACAATATCCTATTTTTCATGAATGGAATGATGAACGCTTTACTCTGGCGGGGCACCAGTGGAGGATAATACAATGATCATGAGGTCAGGTCAGTTAGCCCATTTTGGCAATCGGCAATTTACCACGATAGTTTCCAAAAGGAATCGCGTGGATGTCAACCTAATATGGTACATTGCTGGCAATAGAGTTATTAGTTCACATACTAACAATCCTTCCTTCCCCACAACAACACCATATTATAATTTATTTTTGGATTGATCATAAAGTGTTTAGGTAGATAATGATGTTCATTCTTATCACTATGATCACAGACGGGACAGTCAGAGGCATTATCAACAGCCGACATCGTGGAGAATGCACACTTCACTTGCCCACATTTTGCGCGGTATATTTGAATTCAATTAAGACAGAAATTGAGTCTATTGACATTCCTCGGATTTGGTTTGTTATCAGTGCTTCCATCATCGAAATTGACGAGCGAAGTTTTTGGTAACTTCTATTTCTAACCTCTTAATCACGGTTTAAGATAAGCAACTAGGCTCTTACAAAAAGCTGTTTGTATTTTATTAATTCATTTTTTTTCTTATCATCAGTCCATACGAAGCAATCTATTCGCTGTTGCGATAACTCCGGCTTTAACCTGATTCCTCGGTACATACATCCGAGTTGCATGCCCATCTCGGTGCCTGACAACGATCCCTTCTTCAAAGACAAGTCTGTTTCATGTATGGAATATACCAGATCTGCTACTACCTACCGAGGAGATTGCACGTTCGGAGCTTCGGAACAAGTATGTACAAATTACTTACGGATTATCATTGTTTATTGTCGAACTATATACGGTGAAGTAAAAATGTGTATTATGATTTTGGTCAGTATGTATATAATATCATACGTAATATGTTTACGACCTCATAATTTCTCAGAATTGTCAGTGTTTACTTACTATAGTTTATTATAAAATAATAATAAATACTATAGTTTCAACAACAAATCAGAAATATGTAACAGTTTATGGTATCAGTGGTCAAGCGGTTTCGCCCATCGTCTTACTTCCGTTGGTCGTGGGTTCGATTCCTCGCACGGTACAAAGATTTGTATCCATTGTTGTTTGTATTGTCAGGGTATCTTCATTGTATACCTACCTACGTATTTTTTAAAAATATACATTTATGTATTTTTATCAGTATAGTATATATACTATATTATACTGATATAAATACACAAGCTCTGCTTGGCTTAATTGGGAGTAAAGGGCGCTGTATGGGTTTTCTAGTTAAAATTATTATTCTTTTATTTACTAAGTGAGTTTCGCAAACCTCTTCTAGAGATTTCTATTAGTACCGAATATAATGTAGCTTATCATTTGTTTATAAGTTATTTTGTATGAGTAATCATGCAACATATTTATTACACAATGATTTATATTTTATATACCACATTAGCGGTTTTTAATCTACAGTAGACTTACGCAATGGAAAAATTTATATTACAAAGAATCAAGAAAATTCTTGGCAAATACTGAACTTGAACTTTTAAACTGTAATCATTGACATCAATGAAACTAATAGGAAAATGAATAATTGTCTATCTGCAGCAATCAAGGCAATTGCCTGCCCCTCGTATGCTAATATACAATACATACTTGTAATTTTCCACACACATCACAACAATTTAATATAAATTCTAGATTTTAGTAGTAATTAAAAAAATTATGTAAGTTTATTTCGATTTTATATTTTTATGGCCTTTAAAGCCATGTTCGCAAATTCTTTTTATACTTAGTGGTTTTGTCTGCGTTGATGGTCAAACAGGACAAACAATTAGGTATCGAGGTGTACATAAAGACCTTTTCAGTAACCATATAAGGTTTAATGCGTGACTGCATACTTGCGCAATATTAATCAGAACAGACGATTGGATTAAATAATAGCAAGGTTATTTGAACTACATGCAACGTAATGATGGCGTTGTTTCTACAATACATTGTGTTAAAGTTTAAAGTATTATGTACTAACAAAGTAGAACTACTACTATTATCTTATAGATGTACATTGCTATTGCACATTATTATAAATAATGTAAAGTTAGAAAATCTTCACTAAATATTTTCTTCATTCTTTTTACTATTTCTATTTTCTATGATTGTATTAACTGTTGGCTGCGGGTTTATGCACATGAACTCGTTACTTTGGTATTAGAGAATTAGGTATTTCTGCTATATTTACTTAAATTGCATTTGTTTTAAATTTTTTAATTGGAAACATTTTGTTTTGATAGATCAATCACTTCCAGAATATTTTTGTAATGTGTAAATCTAGACACGCGGTAGCGTGTCAAGCCGAGTTTCAAGTAAACTGGCAAGCAGCACCGTGTGTATATTTACACGAACCATTTGGAGCCACTTTTGACCCCCTCATAACTCAAAAACTCTTTCACATAAACCTGTCAAATTTGGTTCATATATTGAGACTTGCGAGATAAATATGTGTTCCAAATTTCATAAACATATCTCAAACGGTTATTTAGATATTAATGTCCAAAAATCGTCATTTTTATCACTGATCAACTATAGATCAAAATTATAACCCACTTCCAGATGACCTAGGAAGTTCAAATTTGGCATGCAGATAGGTAATTAGGTGAATATAAAGGAAAAAATCTGAAACTGGTAAATTGTTATCATTTTACTACAATTTTTCACTTTAATTGATTCTATTTCAACTTATACTGGACGAATACTAAAATTCTATGAAAACGTCGATAGCCACCAATTGACATTGATCCCTGGCGAAAATATCCCATCCTGTACTGGACGGAAAGTAATATTGTATGAAAACGTCGATCATTACCAATTTACGTTGACCCCTTCACATCAGTGTCGATAACTAGCAAACTTCAAATAGTGCATTGAGCGGTAAACACTAGTTGCTATAATTTAGATTCTGTCTAAAATATACTCGTACTTATAACTAGGAGTATAGTCGAATTTCGTATTTATTATGTTATTAACTGAGATTTGGTATTAATTATTGTTTCAATATTTAGCGCACATCGATAGTGTAAAATCATTATTTTTATAAATAATTATTAAATAATAGGCATTTCGGTATAGGGCGCCGCGGCGGCGCCGTGTGGGAGCGGTGCGATAAAACTCAATGTTTTGTTTCTCGATATCTAACCTATAAGGTTGCGTTGGTTTTTCATATACGAAATATACTGTAGCCCTCGCAAGTTCTAAACATGTTACTTGTCGGTTCCTATTTTAATATTAGTAGTAACTAGCAATCGAAAGTAATAATTGGTATATGAGAACTGGCCAAGTTAGAACTTAGGCTACAGTATATTATCCTAAGTTATAAGAAGAAATGATATTTTATATTGTTATAAATACATTTCAGGACAGACCATTGAACTTGGCACCCATTTAGATCTCATCTCTTTTGTCGTAGAAGTCAACAATCAAGGCATATATCATAATATTAAACTCGGCTATCATTTCACATTTATGTTTTTGATGGGATAGAGATTTACGTAAAGTTCTATACTACAATAAAAAATAGCAATTTAAGCTAAAAAGGCATCTAAGCTAAAAATAAGTAAATTAAAGGTATCTTTATTGTCGACTCCTAAATTTAAAAATTTCTATATTCGTGGATACTCTGTCTAAATGTTACCTTCAGATTATTCTTCCTAAATCTGAACAGATTTTGTTGATACTTTATAGAAGCCATAGGCTTTCGATAAAATCTCGCAAAAGTATGTCACAAATGATAAACAAGTTTTTGTAAACGAAAATATATATACATACTTGTTTATAACGAATACCTAATAATATATAATATGTTTCTCAAGAATGTTGTAGCTGGAGGCTTGTCTTGATAACATTTTTTTCCCTAAATGTTATTGATGTTTAAATTGACCTCTCTGATATTAAGATAGTAAGTTTAATTATATTTTATAGTACTCATTGAGCCAAAAATATTAATTTTATTGATTTTTTTTCTAAGAATTCTAAAAAGCATTTTATCAGTATAATAAAAGTATAATTTTGTTGTATGATATTCGGGTCATAATATGGTCTAAAATAAGTGTTGTGACGATTCTATCTAATTACTGCAAAATGTATAAACGTGTAATCAGATTTTTTTTACTTTGTATAAATAAATAACCCTGAATAATTAACACAGCGCCATCTAGTCCCACGGTAAATAGAGCTTGAGTTATGGATACTAGACAAGTGATACAAGTGATACTTAGATATGTGCGACTGTTACCACTTACAATCAGATAGACCTTCAGTTGTTTGCCGCTGCAATTACATAAATATAAAAAAATAAAAACTTATGTTTACGCATATAGGCACCTAACTTGAATGAATATCATTTCATACGTACCCAAAGTACCTACGTGATGAATCTATTATACATTATAGATATTAGATTACTATCCTGTGGAACGTTTATCCAATTCATAACAAATACGTGGGCATATAATTAAATATAACAGCAACAATATAATTTGATATTGTTTACGTCATTGAAACAAGGGCAATTTTGACTGCATTATATTTTGCCTACGTGACTCTGGTCTCGTTATTATAGTCATTGAATTATATTTCGTAATTATTTACTGTGCTCGGTCAAATATTTAAATACCTAAACAATTGGTAAAGTAAATATATTGAACGATCATAATATATTAAAGTTGGCTAAATTGTTAATATCTAATAGATACTATTTCTTAAGTCGGCAGGCGAATTATAAACCTACCTGTATTCCTTTCCTGCGAATTTATAAAGGTCATATTACCTAGGTAACAGTTAGAATAGTCTAATTAAATAATATGAAATAGAAGAATGGTTATCATAATCTATTTCATAATTATACATGTTTATATTTGCCGGTTCTTTTATATATTATACATTATTATGTATGAAATCAAAGACTGTTGTCTGTTGACTTATGTGAATATATTTCAATTGTTTTTTATAATGTTTTTAAATATTTATGTACAAAATAGGTTTTAAACATACTCCACCTTAGAAGATGTGAATATGAATATTAACTAATTTATGAATAAAATGTACAGGAAATAATGAAATTAACAAGCATTTTTTATAGGTCTGTGAAAGGTGCCTTATTGAATTCTGTCTTAATGACTCTACCTACCAACCTAACACATGGAGTAGTGTTATAATTGTGTCTGTATATTTCTTCTAAAATGCATCCATTTAGGACTTTGTAACTCTGTTGAAATCTATAATATACATTAACGCTAAAACTAAAATTGCCTTAGGACAGAAATTCTTTGAAATAATAATAATCAAGTTAATTGAATATGCATCACATTAGGATCAGGTAAATCCATAGAGTTACCTATCAAAAAATAATCTATAGCACTCAGCCTGTATAGCCTTAAAAATAAAATCGTGACCTTTCTTGTTATTTAGACACCGATAAATAATCTGGTAATATATTTTTATTCACTACAATATACAATTATTCCTTGTAGGCTATTGAAAGTAGAAAATGTTTTAGGCTAAAAATTAAGATAACTATTCAAAAATATATATGACATAGATATCTATATTTTAATTATAATTTATAATAACATATTACGGTAAATATATTGTTTGGCGTATTAAGAATAGTACACAAAAATAGAGTAGTATTGAATTTAGGGATATTACCCATTCATTGAGTATTCTCAACTTAAAAAATAGTAAAGAACATGTCGAACGTTCCTTAGGCAACCATATTGAATGTCATTAAATGACAAACTGCAAGAAGCACTTGCATTAGAAATTACTCCAAGCTTTGTAAAAATTACTTCGGCGTGTATTACTGCGTGATGTGGCAGTTAACACGCAACTTTTTCTTTTCTTTTTATAACGAAAGTTAGACACAATGTATTTACGCCCTAAATCAATGTATTCATTGATAAACTTTTTATATTGTAGTTTTAAATGTAGTAGCTTATTAAACCTAGATTCTAATCCAAGCAAATATTTATAACCTAAATTAAAAGAATTACCTATCTCTTGTAACTTTTGATCGCCGATAGGTAAATTATTTGTAAATCGACTCCTATTATTTCTAACCGTAGTGCTCTTGAAAATATCCTCACATTTCTGTTGCGCTGTTGTCGCAACTGACGGTGAAGGATCTTTAATTTCATCTTGCTCCCAGAACTTAGTCAATAAATCCTTGCAACAAATATCATTGTAAGAGCAAAGAGAAACAACCTTATTATTATTATTACCCCTAAGCTCTAGCGGACCAGATATAAGCCATCCTAATGTCGATTTAATCATAGATGGACGCCTAGAGCCTAAAGATATAGTTTCTCCACTTACAATATGAAAGAATAACTCGGCTCCAATGAGCATATCAATATCTTTACTTATAAAAAACTGTGGATCAGCTAATATAAACTCCGAAGGTATATTCCACCTAGCAATATTAATATCCATATGAGGAAGTGGAACAGTAATTTTATCAGTAACGTTGCAATTAAGTATATAAGTAGTATTAGAGAATGTTGAATATATTTTTAATGTAGTATAATATTGTGTAATCTTAGGAGAATTACCAATGCCTTGTATTTGGCAACTGTGTGGGATCAATTTTGAATTTAATTTGTCCGTTAAGTTTTTAGTTATAAAATTTACTTCGCTACCTGAATCTAGTAATACGCGAGCGTTTATCCAGTCGCCCCCTTGAGTACGCAACCTAACTATTGCGGTGCTTAATAAAACCGTACCTGGATATTGAGTAGGCCTGGCGACAAGAGCAGCTGCATGTGGGACTGATGTCTCTATATTACTCGACATTGTATGTTCATTTGTGGACTGAATAACAGGACTAATCTCGCTTTGAGTGGATGTACCTGCCCTAGGATGCATATTCATATGTAAAGTATAATGGTGACGCTTTCGGCAGAACTTGCAAGTAACCTTGCTACATTTATGAGGTATCTGAAAAGGATATAAACAATTATAACAAAGCTTATTAGACCTTACATAGTCACTACGTTGTTGCGGCGTCATTGCTAAATACTTTCCACATCCTTGTAAATAATGTTTTTCATGACATAGTGGGCAAGTTTCAGAAGCTTGAGAAGTCGATACTTGAGACGTCCTCTTCATATGAGTATGCGGCATTGTATTAAATGTATTAGTATTCGTATTCTTATCCTTAACGTTTTCGAAAGCAACTGATCTGTAGTTTAAGAAATCTTTTAAATCCAGCAATTTTGGCAGTTCAGTAGTTTGCCGGCTCAATTCCCATGCCATTCTTAAGGAATTGTCCAATTTATGTGTAATTAAATAAATCAATATTACTTCCGTTGTATCAACTTGCATCGTATTTAATGCATCTAAAGATTGTTGTAGATTACTAAGAAAATGTTTGATATTGTCTCTTGTAATGGTATTGTAATTCAATATTTTCAAGTGGTGATTGACAACCAACATTTTGTTTTCGTAGCGTTTCTCAAGTGTCATCCATGCGATGTCATAATTATCCTCTATAATTGGTAATGAGGAAATCAATCCTGCGGCTTCACCCCTTAGAAAAGACTTCAAGTAATAAAATTTTTCAATTTTAGTTAAATTGTTGTTGTTATTAATTACAGATAAAAATAAATTTTTAAAGTTATTCCAGTCCCTGATCTCTCCACTATATATAGGTATATTTAGTTGGGGTATAGGGACATGTATTGATTTCTGTATAGGAATGCTATTTATATTAGAATTATCGTTTATTTTAATGTTTGTGTATTTCTCGTATATAGCTGTAGTTTCATAATATTTATTCTCAAAACTTTCTCTCTCTATTATATCTGATTCTAAATCTTGTAGACACTCTATTTCCAATTGAATTTCCATAAAATCATCCAACATTTTTTCTAAATTTTTATATCTAGTTTTTATTTCATACGTTTTGCCGTGATTGTTGACATCACTAATAAACGTATAATGGCGTGTGAGATTGCCTTTTAATATTGCTCGTTTGCTAAGCAATCGCTTCAATTCAGCCATGCTGATTATTATATATTGTAAATATTAATGTATATACTTATATCGTAATTTACTTACGGTTTGTATGTTGTATTGTAAGATCTGTTGATCGGACTTCTGTGTTGTCGAAGTCTTTTTGTATTTATATGGTTACCTGTTGGTATATTCTGTTGAATATATATTTTGCCATGTATTGGCTTTAAAAATCTCGAAGGACCACTAAATGTTTATATTTGCCGGTTCTTTTATATATTATACATTATTATGTATGAAATCAAAGACTGTTGTCTGTTGACTTATGTGAATATATTTCAATTGTTTTTTATAATGTTTTTAAATATTTATGTACAAAATAGGTTTTAAACAATACATATCATTTAATCGGCTGTTTTTATTTACTGGATTTTTTTAGAATAATTTGAAGTACTCAAAAAGTAAATAAGAATTACATTTATTAGTTTATGTATTATTTATCTATGAATAAAATAAGAAGGGGCCCTAGCATTCATTGAAATAATTTAAAATTACTCTATCATGTCTCCCTTAACAATTGACTCCCTCTCCTCCCCTACCTTTTTTATCACCGTCACATAAGATTCTAAATGCGTCCAATCTCTTTTGTTGACAGATGAATCAAGCCAGCCACTTCCTAGATGGGTCTCATATCTACGGCACCAACGGCCGTGATGCAGCAGCCCTGCGAGAGAATGCTGGAGGCCTTTTAAAGACGAGTAAAATAAATGAAGAAGAATTATTGCCATTAGCCCCGAACCCTACTGAGAAATGTCTAGTTGAAAATGCATCAGGCGTTTGCTTTAATGCTGGTAAGTTATACGATGTATCTACGAATTTATTTATTATATCGACATACCTAATGTAAGGTATATGACTAAAAATTAGAATTAATAATGGATTCATGAGTAGGTATAATAGTCATGAATAAAATACACAGAAGCATTTAACTGCGTATTATGTATATGATTTTAAATAAGCACACAATGCGAGACTCATTGTTTTATGACAAAATATAACTGTTCCAATAACTTCAAAGTTAGAAGTACGTACCTCCTTATTCAACTATACATCAACTTTTGTTGAAGTAGATAAATGTTTATCTAAAAATGATAAATTATAGCTAGAAATATCCTATAGCCTTGATCGTGAACTCGTGAACCCTCAAAAAATTTGATTATTTATTATTAGTAACAATTTACATTGTCTTTGAAATTATATATTTTTTTCTGCTAATAAATTTATCGACACTATAAAAAGTCTGTTCCAAAAGAAACGAAAGAAAAGCGCAACTTGCCATTAAAAAGTTTCCAAGTGTGTATTGTATTTGAACTGTTGGGTAAAGAGTTAAAAACCCTTACAGCTTAGAAACCTGGATGTCAATGGGCACAACTAGGTGAAAAATCAATCGAGGGTACACGAGCTCGTTAGTGAAAAAATATGTGTACCTATAACATTGAGTGATTATACCAGCATACTATGATTTATCACAAAAATAATACCGTGATAACGGTATTACAAGGGTTCACTTTAGTATTAGGACTCTCTAGTATTAGGACTATATAGAATTAAAATAGACATAAGATTAGAGAAACACGCGCGAATTCGTGGAACTAAGTTAACTATGTTTACTTACTGATAAATACAAGTAAGCATATACCTACTGTAGCTACAAACAATATTATTATAGATAAAACATCAGTTATATACAACATTGTCAACGACAGATTAAACAGCATCCTCTTTATTTATTGCTCTTATTGCCCATCCGATAAGTTATGTAAGCAACATTATGATGCTTACAGATAAAACTATTTTATATTAAAGGGTCAACATTAATTATTTACTTTGTGAATACTATATCTATAAAATACATCTTATTACACAAATAATAATAATACATCAAGACAGTTCCCACAACGCCATCTACACAATCGTTTGTAGTTCCAAAGAACTTACAAATGGATATTAACAGAAATAACATATTAACAGAAATAACACTAAATACATTTTTTTTGTAAATACATACATACAATAAAATTAAAGAATATGGAAAAGAATAATGACAACTTGTTATATATAATGATAGTTTTTTTTATTTATTAATATCTTTTTAGGCGACGTGCGCGCTAACATACATCCATGGATGACTAGTCTTCAATCCCTGTGGGTGAGAGAGCATAACCGAATAGCCCGAAGCTTAGCCACTCTTAACCCTGCATGGAATTCAGACAAATTGTACCACGAAGCGAGGAGAATTGTAGTCGCTGAATTACAACATATCACATATAAACATTGGATAGCAGCTCTAACAGGTTGGTATTGAAGTACAGAAAATAATATCTGTATTTATAGTTCATACCTAATTATTATATTATGTTATGTGTTATGTACTTATGTTCTGAATAATTTATTGAAAATTTAACTAGAGTTTTTTTAAATTTCGTATAAAGATATGTGATATATCGTACAAATAATGGGATAAAGGCAAGGCAATGATGATAAAGATATGTGCATAAGGTATATTATTCTTTCATTTTTAAAGTTTTCGCACATAAATTTATACATACATGTATATTTCACTGGTCGTTTTGGTCTACTACGCCACTAATTTAGTCTCCAATAAGTTAGATCCAAAGTCAAGTAACTGCTATGTAGGTATAATCTAACCAAACTCCAGTTAGTCATAGCATATTATTTTACATTTATTTTTAGGTACTATGAAGTTTCTTGATAATTATAATCACGTGTGTATTCATAATAAATCCGTTCCTTGACGTCTATTTGCATATAAATGTTTCTTGTATGTTAATGTAAAGTAATCGTAACAAAACGTTCGTACTAGTATATAAATATCTATTAAATTTACCTCTATATATGTATCTGCAATTAAATAATGCGATATAATACATACGTATTCTATTTTATATTTATTCTGAGACGTTTGAACAATAGCTATTTGATATTGTCATTCATAAAACAGTCTATTAATTATTTTAGATAAAAAGTGAGTAGATGAATAGGCGATATAACCCAACAATTCGAAATTGGCATCTAAGGAAACCGTAGGTAGCTCAGTAGAAGCAACGGCTTTGATACCAGTACAGTTTCGAATTCATGTAGCAATATGTAAATTGTTCTGATAAAAGCATGTGGAATAGATTCATAATAATTTTTTTGAGGTTTGACGTTCTTTGTTATATTTTCTAGGAAAAATATTTGATGAATTGCATGAAGGATACGATACGGGATACAATTCTGATGTGGACCCCACTATCACAAACCCATTTGCCACTACAGTCTTCCACTTCGTCAATAGTCTTTTAGACCAGGATTTAGAATTGTTAGACGAAAACAACAAAGTGGTCTCGACATCAAGGCTCATGAATAATTACTTCAAGCCGGAGATTGTAACTCAAAAAGGCGGTCTGCAGAAAATTTTGAGAGGAATGATTAATCAAAACAGCCAGAGAATGGACTTTAACTACGACGACGATGTAAGTTTTGTTTTTATTATTAATAATTAAGTAGGATTATGATGGTTACCTTTTTAGTATGTAGTATATAACCTTACAGTACTAAGATACAGCGCGTTAAATGTTTAGAAAATATATAGAAATAGAAATAGCTATATTTGTATGTTATTGGTATTTATTGTGAAAATTATTTTTAAGGTATTTTATAGAAATTTACTTCTAGTCTGACGACTTATATAGAATTTTGGTTTATGTTATGTACACTGTTGCCTTCCTTAGTTCTTGTCTCCGAGTTTAGAGTGCACTACTTAGTTAGTTATATAGAAATCAATGTATATTAAATTATTTGTATCTAAAAATTAAGGTTAGGTTAAGTTAATCAATAGATCTTGTTGAATAAAATGTACAGTGATAGGATAGGCGTAGAAAATAACGTTGCACTCGTGCCTATAAAAAAATAGTACCTACAACTTTTTTTAATCAGTCTTATATTTGTATACGTCTAATACGAATGGGAAACCTATTTCTTGTAAAAAGAGTAAAATCATACATATACGTGTATAAAAAAATATGATTGCAATGAAATATTCTCTTTTTGAGTGTATATATGTTAGGTATACCTTAATATGTTAGATAACATTAATATGTTAGAGCAGATAGCTCCCAAATATTATTATTCGAGTCGCGATTCAATTAGATACTGTGATCTTTTATCGATGTTTGTTCAGTTGAACCTTGAACAATGCCTGCTCATGAATGTCACATTGAGCGTGTTTACATTCTTTGAACGCTAATTCATAAATATTGTTAGTTACTACTTTATTATGTACGCAAGCTAAATTTAAACTTGATGTTATCATATACATTTTTTCAATATTAAAAAGGTTCAGTTTTTTTTAAGTCTCACTAATCGGTTATTTGCGTAACGCGATACCTGAGACGAAACCTTTATTTAAATCTATGGGTAGATACATTCATTCTCACATTTATTTATTTGTTATACTACGATAGGTATATAAATCTGGTATTTTACATGAACAGTGGATATGTTTTATTTAGGACATTTTTATTGGATACTAGCTGTACCCGCGACTTTGTCCGCGTAAAATAGTGACCTTAAGCAAATAATAAAATATATATATTAATAATCTAACCCAATAAAAAAGTTTCATCGTTCTAGCTCCAAAAATGAAAATTTCACTTATGACTGAGTCCTGTGAAGGTAGGTACTAATATTTTCTCAACAGCCTAAAAAATTAGTTTCAAGCTTCTAGCTTTAAAAATGTCAATACTTGCATACCATATTTCACCTTTTGACTCTTACAAACCATTTTCGTTAATTATATTTAATCAATACGCAAAAAATAAAATTCAAGCTTCAACCTTTAAAAATGACGATACTTCTATATAACCTCCTCTTTCAATCTCTTATAACCCTTTTTCGCATTAAAAAGTAACCTATGTCCTTTCTCAGGATCTAGATTTTAAACTTCATTTAATTCAGTACAGTAATTTTGGCATTTAAGTGAGACAGACAGACAGATTTACTTTCACTATCATAATATTAGTAAAGTATTTATTAAACTGACCAACTGACAAAAAAGCGAATGAAAAAAGTTTCATCGTTCTAGCTTCAAATATGACGAATTTCCATAAAAACTATTATCTGCTATTTTACTTTACCCCTTGAATGGTGACATTTTTACAAATTTAAATGTCATATTTATTTATATTTAATGTATAGTCTAAAAATTTCTTTAACTTCTTTTGTAAATTGGTGGTCCAGTTGGCCAATAACATAATAAAAATTTGTTAAATCAAAATAATAGATGTGGTATTCTAAATTGCAAACATCCCTCTACTTGCGCAAACCATACTTTGACTCTACTGGCCAGAAGGGAGAAACGCGTATTCCGACCCTGAATAGCTCGGATGGAACGGTAGATGTTGTTTCTTCCAAGGAAATGTTGTTCATATGTATAGACAACTTCATTCTTAATATTATATATTGTTTTAATCTTCAAAAATATTAATAATATGTGATTACGATCTTGTCCAAGAGCAGGGTCATCAGTTATAGGCCGTACCAGGATTATATTTATGTATTTATAAAATAATATTGCAGAGCAAACGATTATACATTTAAATTTATAAGGAGACAACGGATTGACAATAATCAGTTGCTCGCGCAACTTCGCATGCGTGCTGCTTATACAAATGACATTTATGTTTATTTATGTCGCATATCTAGTACAATATTGGTGTAATTCAGAAATTTAAAATTTTTGAAGTTAGACTTAATACCACAGTTATAAAGTAGACTTTCCAAAATTTCTAATTTTTTAGTTAAGCCAGTATTATACTATGTGTGTATTAAACCGCATAAAGATAACCTTGTAATTCCATTTTCAACCCCTTACAACCCTTTTTTCGCATTAAAAAGTAGCCTATGTCCTTCCTCGGCGTATAGACTATCTGCGTACCAAATTTCATTTAAATCGGTTCAGTAGTTTTGGCGTGAAAGCGAGACAGACAGACAGACAGACAGACAGAGTTACTTTCGCATTTATAATATTAGTAAGGATGTAGAATAATTATAAAATTTTAAAATATATTGGATATGTAATAATATATACATATATTAAATATGTTGTGATTATTGACTTGCATTCATCACATTCATTAGGATCGGCACAGTTTGTCATCTTCCATGGATCCCTATTGTCAGTAAAATCTGACCTTACACGTCTTTCGACATGGTTGTAATTGTATAAATAATAATAATAATATCACTCCTTGTTGTGCAAAAACAAGAAAACTTCAGATAATCTTGGGGTCTATAAATATTTTGTTTAAAATATTTATAACAAGAAATATTTTACAGTTACGTCATCATTGGCTTGGTGGACTAGATGTGTTGGCTATTGATATTCAACGCGGTCGTGACCACGGACTACCCGGGTACACCCAGTACCGTACAGTATGCGGACTAACGCCTGCCACCACATTTGAGCAATTGTCTGACGTCATACAGCAAGAGGTGTGTAAAACGTATTTAACTATTAAAGTTGTATTCATATATGATGGTGATATTAATACATAGATAATAGCATCTTCCATAAGTAGAGACAAGGTAGACTTTGTACTTTGCGTTGATTTACGATTTCTCTGTTATATCTATATCTTCTAAGCAGTTTGTTTTATAAGCGGTGCAACACTTGAAGATAATAAAGCAGTGAATTTATAGGGAATAATATGGAACCTTAGCCCACGAGGGGGACCATAGGTGTCATATGACCACGTGGGCACAAAAATGGCGATAGGATTTCAACAGTTGGGCCATCAGTTAATTTTCCATTCCAGTTACATATATAAATTTTATTTATTTTTAACAACTTACATTGTGTTGAATTTCATTGTCATTGCATAAGTTAATAGTTAGTAATTAAAATATCATTATTTTTGCAAATTAAATATAAAGAAATTCACTTGAACTATTTAATATAATTTATATTCTATTGTTAAATTAGTAATTTGATAAATTATTACACAGCATTTCTTCAATAAAAACTTTATTTTGAGATTAAATTCAATTTTTCATACAAAACTTTTCAATCTCGTGGGTTTTTTTAAATAATTGTATGGATTAAAAATAAGATGCTTTCCGCCTCCAACGTCGACAACTGACTCAGAAAATGTTGTACAAAATAAATCCTGATCACTAGTAGAGAGTTGCATACTTGTACATTATACTTTTATAAAACAATAATTGTAGTAAATGTTTAATAAATAAATAATTGTCCAATTATACAATGAGTACAATTTTTAACAACCTTGAGAATTTTTTAAAAGTATTTTTAAGTAATAATTACGTTCTAACATTTATATATTTATGTTTACAGACTGTGGACAAATTGTCTCAACTGTATGAAAATCCGGCTGATATAGACTTGGTAGTGGGAATGATGGCTGAGAGAGCTCTACCTTCATCACAGCTGGGACCTACTGCCACATGTTTCCTTAGTAAGTAGATATCCATTCGAGACATTCTTTCTAAATTTAACGTTTATATTACAGTAACTCTTATCTGTAACTTTTTTACTTCTATTTTTTTTTTATAACAGTGCGCCTTCTTGCCTTCTCTCCTACAATTTATAATCACAATAAATTTCACTACCTTCTGTTCAGATATTTAGTCGCGAAAAGTTAACAAACTGACAGATATCAGATAGACATTTATATAATTATGGATTTATTATATAATATCAGACTCGTTCGATAGAAAGATTTGTTTAACAGAATTGTTTTGCAATACATCCGTCAATGCTAATAAAATATTCAAGATAGAAATTGGAAATAACGAAATTATATAAGTATTTATAATAAGAATACTTATATAAAAAAGTTGGGAGTGTCCTTATTATCTTTTCAAGATTATATATCTGAATATGGTACCATATTCAGATATATAGTCTTGAAAAGATGCCTTTTATCTAAAAAAAATTGCCAAGGTTGCTTTGAATATACCAATAATATTTTTTTCTTCCACAGAGGAACAACTTTGGCGCACTCGTGCAGGTGATCGTCATTTTTACACGCACGCTGATGAATCTGGTAGTTTTACTAAACGGCAATTGTCGGAAATCAAACGCGCGTCCCTCTCACGACTGTTGTGTGATAACGCTGGATTTACTAAAGTCCAGCGGGATGTTTTCCAAACTCCTTCTGAAAGGTAATTTACATATACTGTATATAGCATTATTTTTTTGTATAATGAAAAAAGTATCTTTTCTTTACATATTCCTATTTCTTAAAAGAAAAACTATACAAATCATATTGAGTACTCGGTAACACTAAAAAAATATGAATATTTATTATATTTAAGCTGCTACTGATGTATTACTACTGACAACATTATATTATCATTTAATGTAACTATAATAATATGTAATAAATATTCAATAATATTATTAAATATCTATATATTTAGGTAAAAGATTAATTTAGAAAAAAATATTCTTTCTACAAATAATAATATATAAACACACTAGACGTAAATCTATCATAGATTCGATGTATAACTGAATATTTTGTTCCAGCAATCCGTCACTTTCTTGCGATGAAATCAAGAAGGTAAATTTAGAAGCATGGCGGGATCCATCTCAGAAGCCCGATATCTTAACACGCACTACAAAATGGATTAAAACCAAAGTTGGTACAACAAGCACTACAAAATGAACTACACCAACAATGAATGTTGATAATAATTATATTTAAATTGTGTACCTGCAAGTTTAACACCTGTGGTGCAAGTTTAACTATTTCAAATTCACATTGAAGTTATTATAAAACTTTATCATTGGAATTATAAAGACTGATTTCTAATAAATAGAATTCCTCTGAGTGAAGTTCTCTGAATTGAAATAAATTGGTATGAATTTGTTAAACTTGCATCATAGTTTTGGTTTTAGTGGAGAGATTCAGTATTGTGATTGTCTGTAAAGGAGTGATAAACAGTCGTAATGTCACTATTCTTTATATAAAAACTTACGAGAAATAGTCTCGTATGACTGTACTTTAGCGCCTTGATTCAGAAGCATCTATATTAAGTAACCTTTATGTGTAGCTATATTAATTTATAAGGAATAATACTGTTGGCTGTGATATGTCGACTTGAATATTGTGTCCATTTGTCAAAGTGTTTTCTCGAAATTTACGGATAAAACGACTGGATGACGTTTTTCAAAAAGGTGTAAAATTTAAATTATTATTATCAGAATAAAATTTAAATTATAATCAATTAATATAATCCTAGTTTCTTAATTTGAATTGCACTTATATAATTAGATCGTAAAGATTTTTATATAATTTAAAAACATTAAAATAAATAGATTTTTTACGTATAATTATATTTATCTTTTGTTTTTTATTATCTTTATTGCACCAATTACAGAACATATTATCTTTTTATTATAAGAAACTAAAATCTTAGATTAGGTCAAAAACATAATGAGTATGGGACAGTAATCGAAAGGACCACATATATTTCATAGTTGCACTTTATTACTATCCATTATAGTTTAAAATATCTTGGTGCTATATGATATGCGATTTAAATGTAAACAATCAAACAGCCTTTCTAGGGATTCTAAACAATTATGATTATACTACATCAAGAAGCTGCTTTATTTTCAGAAGTTTACTTCATTGTACTTGTTATGACAAATTGAAATACAGCATTTCCTAATTAACTTAAGATAATATTTTAGGCGAGATTGTTGTTTTTATTTTCTTTATTAAATTAAGTATATGTAGGTAAATATTAATTTATAAACATATGGAACTTCTAATGTACTTATGAGTTAAGAGAAAAATTAATTTGAACTTAATTAACTTATAGTTAGATAAAAACACATACCTTTAATTTTAGTACCTATACTTATGTATGACACACTGCCAAAGACTTGTATGAAAACAAGGTTATATTTCCGAGTAACTATGTTGGTTTAAAAATAAGTAATATAAAACAAATAATTTAAAAAAAAGTTTGATTCTTGTTGAATAATCCCGAACTGGACCGTGCCGTCCAGTTTGTTGACATAATTTATATAAAAAAAATTAAATCTCCAAGTGACTTAAAAGGTATAAACAATATTTTTTATTATGTATTTAATAACCAAGATACATTGACACTCCATTACCTTTTTAAATTATGAAGTAAAAGGTATCTTTTTAGATAGATATATTTTATAATAAAATAGATTTGCGATCATATAATTTACCATTATTGTCGCAAATTTTTACAAATCAATTTAAACAGAACATTTTAAAGTCGTGGTACTTTAGTGATTCAATCATATTTTTTGTTTCTATTTTATTACATAAACTGAAAAAACTTAATTTACAAAAATTTTCGAAGTTTACGAAATAGATCATTGCTGCAGGAAGTAATTTTGTTACTCAACAATCACTTTCTATTCTAATTACTTTTGTACGTTGTCAAATAAACTGTTTATCTATTATATTGTTGTTTATTTTTAAACTAAATAATAGGTGCATAAAACGTATTATATAAGTTCATGTAATTTGTCCACGACTTTCATATTTTTTATGTCACCTGTCTAAAAGTCAGTACCTAGTATTTATTTACATATCTATTAAAATATTTTTTAAAACAATAATTAACCTTATTGTTTTAAAAAATATTTTGTTTCATTTATATATCTAAACATGTTTAAAATATGCCAAGGAAAGTATAGAGTAAGCAGACATAACAACTTCCTTTTTTGTAATAACAACTCAGGAGGTAATAAGAGGTGACGACAGTTAAATATAAAACCAAACTACTAAAGAACTGATCACTTCATTTTATATAATCTATCTGTACCATGTAGTAGGTAGATATATTATATGCATGAGAAAAAAGGTAGGTATTTGAGATGTATAACGCGCGCAATTGTAAGACGATTCGAATTATATCAAAATCTCGAATCATTTTATTACCAGGAGAATTAATGGTCGTATACTTATGTATTCACAATAGCTGACCTGCGCGACTTTATCTGAGTAATGGAAGAGAAAAGGAATATTTGCCCATATCCTATTTTTGCGACATTTTCCAATGATGCTTATTTATTTATTGTAGTGTGATTTCAAATAGCCTCGACAAATTGGCCATTCAACAATAAATAATTTTCTCAATTCGTACTAGGAGTTTCTGAGATTGTTCCTGCTTGGTTGAAAGCTCTGTTCAGCTTAATAACATTAGAAAGAAAGAAAATATGTTTAATCATTACAATAAATAGTAGGTATATATACAACGTCGCGTAAAACATTTGACGGGGACCTAAATACGCTCGTAGTCGCGTAAATGGAAACTGTCGCTCTGAAACACAATATTCAGAATGTGATATAACATTACATTAAATTATACTTAAGAAGCGAGTTGAAATTGCATCACGAATCTACATTGGCTTCAATAACAAGCTTTTGTACGTGTTATCACTTCACTTGAGTACATACCTTTCGCGTGTTCCCGAAACGGGGCGCTCTTCAAGTGGTTAACTCCTCGTTGGTTAATGAGAATGAAGTTTGATTAAATTTTCCTTTCTGTTACATATAATACTGTTGTCTGAACTTATTTTCTAAGAGGTTGGAGCACACATTTGTAAATTTGTAGATGTAAATATAACTTACAACGGGTTTGAATATTTTTTATGCAATACTAGTATGATCATGTGCTAAATTGATGATTACGCCAACTATAATGATTACACTATGATGAGACCACTAATTGAAGGATCGATGATAAAATTAGATCTCTCACTCTCACTCTCACATACCTGCGAACTAGTCCTGAGACTAGTTCGCAGGTATGGTGACTATGACGATCTCGGTGGTCGCACGGTTTAACATTCCGCGTTCCGCCACTCCGCAGTTTAGAACTCGAACCTACGACCAACGACCTACTTGGTTGTGGGTTCGAGTTCTTTCAAAGTATGAATTTGTATTCTCTAGGCATTTTCTATATCTATTGTGTACGTATTAAAATAATATTATTCTATCGGTTGTTTAGTGCCGGTAACACAAGTCGTGCATAGCTTTCAACTAGATAGCGTTCTGAATGATTCAAGTTTAGCATTATTGTAAATAAGGTGCTCAATTAAAAGTACTAAAAATGATACAAGACTATAGGTACATAGAAATACAACTACAAGACAACTATTCATATGAAGCGGGAATCCCACATAGTGCTGTATATTGAGAAAGAAATAGAAATAGAAATAATCTTTATTCAAATAAACTTAATATAAGCACTTTTGAATAGTCAAGTTTTTTATTCTACCGCTCATTTGGAATGCAGAGTCATCACAAGAAGAATGAGCAAGAAACTTGTGTGTTGCTCTTTTATATAAATATATTGATTTAATTATATTTACATTAACAAGGATTAGGCATGTGACAATCAACATAGAAACCGCTACGTACTTAATCTCTGTTCAATCAGATAACATTGTCAGTGCTATAAATTTAAAATTAGATATTTTCTACAAAAACATTATTATCATTTATAAATTCTTCAATTTTCTAATAAACTTTTTTTACAAAGAAAATATTTTATAAGAAATTTGATTTTTTTTTTCTGGCAAATTGAGTACAGACTGTGGCAGTTTGCAAACCCCTTATGCAATTTCCATAAAACGAATTACTAGCTTTCTTCAAACTTAGGTTAAGACGTACCTATATGTATTTATTATCTATAGGTAATAGGCTTGAGTTCAGGAACTTTACTTGAACAATCGAGAGAAGGTAGTAGAAAAAACTGCTGGCACCTATCTATATACGTACATTCACACCGCTGTTACTCCAGTCAGCTCGTGACTACGGCTACGGCCATAAACATACAACAATATAAATAATGTATATTAGACACGAAAATTTTAAAATAACTATGAGTTCAGGAGTAAACAATTGTTGACGAATATAAATCTTGCGTATAAATCGCTTGGTTATTTGTTTCAATTAGGTTAGAAGATAAAGAAAAATTGTCATAGTGACCGATATTCTGTTGCCAAAGTTGTTTTGTTTTATTTATTCAGCGAGATTTGTAATATATTTATGTAAATATTATCCTAGTATAACAGGGCCATGACAGGATTAGATGTAATGAGGACTATTGACCCCAATGTTACCAATGTAGGGTACAATCACACTGTCGATCTTCAAGACCATCATGATTAATTTCGCTTTAGATTATTAGATTGAATTCGCAGGATGAGTGGTGACCATCATGTGCACAAAGTAGGTATAAAATTCGTATGAAAGTGTCAGCCAATTGGTGAAAGAACACGGAATCTAATTTGAGATAGAAGTAAACTTCACACCTTTTCAATTATTTTTAATGGGTGCTAATTACATATGATTCTTGATGAGTCAAGAGTTATGATATATTTATGTCGATTTTACTCAAGTTAATGTATTTTTTGGGATATGTCTTGTTTTAAAACCAACGGGAGACCTTCGTTATAAATCCAAAATTATAAATTTGAGTGTATATAAATAAAGTCGCCTTATTTTATATAATTATAGATCTCGATTGTACCTACCACCTACAATTTCATTTGCGATATTTTTTTATCTTGAGATCGTTCGTTTCTAAGTGATTTTTTATTAAAACGTATCGCTATAGAGTCTGGATCTGTTCACTAAGATATTCTTCGAGTTTATTACATGATTTACAATGAGATTTACACTTGATCGAGTTTCTATTTCATTGTGAGCCCCAATATAGATCATGCTCTAATAGCTGCATTCCTAAAGTGTTGTATGAAATTTAGTAGGGTTCCGCGGATGTCATATTTGTTAACATGTGTCTGAATAAACCTCACCTATCTGTTTATGAAATAGGTTCCCGTGAGACAGGTCGCATCCGTAAATCAAGTGTATAGGCACAATTTGAAGACAAGAGCTTACTAGCATATATATCACTTTTCAATAAATACTCTAATTGAGACTTAATAATGGGAATTAGTTGCGGTAATGAATAGAATTTATTACAGCACACACTACAATACATAACAATGGCGATGTACACAACATCATAATGATTAGTATATCTGAAAGATTTTTTATTACAGCATAATTGTTTTATATCAAGAAGAAATATATTTTTCACAACAATGCTGCTCCACTGAGAGTGACTCTTTAACTATGTCAAGTCATTCGTGTATAGATTTTCTATCTCAAAATGGGGACATTAAATGTACCCTATTAAAGCATTGAAAATGCAAGTGAAAGCTCGTTTACAGGAATTGAAGAATTCCTTAACGATAATAATGTTTTTATAGAAAAACTTTAAATCCATAGCACTGACAATATTATCTAATTACACTAATAATGAGTGCGTAGCGATTTCTATGTTGATTATCGCATGCCTCTTACTTGTTATACTGTAATTATTTATATAAAAAAAAACATCTATTAAAAAGAGCAACACACAAGTTTCTTGCTCGTTCTTCTTGTGATGAATCTGCATTCCGAATGAGTGGTAGAATCAAAATATGACTATTCAAAAGTGCTTGTAATGAGTTTATTTGAATAGAATAGAATAGAATAGAAAATCATTTATTCAAATAAACTTAATTTAAGCACTTTTGAATAGTCATAACAATTTGTTTTTATCTACCACTCGTTCGGAAAGCTGTCTCATCACAAGAAGAACGAGCAAGAAACTTGTGTGTTGCTCTTTTAAATAATTCTTGTAAGTTTACATTTACAAGTCGAAACGTGTGAATACAAACTACCAAAAAGCACAAATTTTTGGGTCAAATATAAATATACAATAAGATTAAATCAGTCGTAGTGATAAGAGCAGACCAGTCCCTACAAGCAGCACTCGTTTCACGAGTATGACGGATGAGCCAGCCATCACTGCGCTCGACCATATTTTAGGGAGCCCAATGACCCGGCCCACCACGCCGCCACATGTCTGGACATTTTAGTGAGCATGACTACTCATTCCACACGACCACGTCACAGCTACAAAAATTACTATATGGTAGTTACAGTATTCGCACTTTACATAAGGATGCATGCGGCAATCAATACAAAAGCCGCTACGCTATCATATATCAAGAAAGCAGTATGAAAATTAAAATTATAACGTTGTCCGCAAATAAACTTATTCTTGCTATATATTGCTATCATCTATAAATTCATCTATTTTATAATAGGCTTTTTTACATAACATTTGTTTAATATAAGATTTGAATTGCCTCTCTGTAAGATTTAGCGTAGACTCTGGCAGTTTATTATAGAATAAAGATTATTTCTATTTCTATTTCACTAATTATATCCGTTCATAGAAATTAAACATTTAGGATAACAGTTTCTGAACACTCGATGACCAACTCTAAATCGCACTTTATTTCTTTTTCAATTCGTTCAACTTTTGAATTTTTGAAATTGTTACCATGCCCTTAGAATCGACATCTTTATTGAATAAAAAAACAATATAGTGTAA